ATACCTCCTACAATCTTCTGTACCAAAGTTACGTCTCGCCAACATTGCTCTCTTTTTGGTGCAGCATTCTGTGTGACAGTCTATAGGCCCTACTCTTTTGGGGAAAGGTGTTTTGGTTTTGTTGTTAAGTTTCCTTCATTCTTATCTTATTGTTTTGTTTTTATATCTGTGGCTCAAAGTGTGTCACTCCACGGACAAAATGACTCATTTTTACGATAATGAGTCAAATTACTCACTTTGGGTTTTCTGTGTACGTTTATAATTTGCAGCCATTTCTTTGAGTGGAAAGCCAACATCACAGAGTACAACGTACAGCGGTGTGTACACTTCGAACAAGGCGATCGACGGAATTCCGTCTTCGTTTGCACACACGTGTAAGCTCATCTGTTATAATAATATTACAATTGTAATCCAATCGTTTCCCGAGTCCTCAACTGTAAGGACGATAAAACTCCGTGCATGAACAATGGACTTTTTACAAATCAATTCGCATACGCATAAATAGCCCCGGCATGTTCACTAGCTCTCAGTTATAGACGTCGCAAAGGCAGGCTCTGTGTACAGTCTTCAAGTGGTCAGAAATTGTCTCAGATCGCACCAATACAATACAATACAACAATACAATATTTTATTTCATCACAATTAAAAGACTTTAAAAGTGAAATTCTTCTTCCCAATGTGCACATAAAAACAATATACATATATTTAGACACTTAAAAATGTACATAAGTCGAACACTTCAGTTTATGTTAATAAGTATAAAACCACCAGCAAAAATCCCTACTTTAAAAAAAGAGAAGCTTGAAAACAAAAAGCTATATTGTTATAAAAGTATTCAAATCTGCATGCTGACATGCTAGGTTATTCATTTAAAAAGGTCTAATCTGAATTGTAAAAACATTGCAAACAGACAGTATTTATCTGATCAAATTAGAATTATAGAGGTGAATGGCACTAGGTAAAAAAGAAAATCTGAACCGGTTTGTGTGTGTGGGGAGCGCCCGTAATCTTCCTGATGGGAGTGATTGTATAGATGAATGCAGAGGATGAGCTGGGTCCTGAGTTATAGTCTGCAGTTTCGTGAGATAATTTGTTTCAACAATTTCTTTCACCTGTTTCACTTCCAGACCAATTATTTTTCTTGCAGTTTTTGTGATCCGCTCAATTTTTTTCCGGTTATTTACAGTTAAGTTATTGTACCATACAATGCAACTGAAAGAAATGATTTACTGGACAACACTCTGGTAAAATAAATGCAAAATCGAATCACGAACATTAAAAGAGCTTAACTTCCTGAGAAAATAAAGCCTCTGGTTTGCCTTGGTATACATTCTCTGAGTGTTTTTGTTCCAGTTTAACCCGTTATCAATGACTGTTCCAAGATACTTGTACTCAGTGACATTTTCCACTTGTTCATTTCTAATGCTAACTTGACCGGTATTATGTTGTTTTTTACGAAAGTCAAAAATAACTTCTTTTGTTTTGGATACGTTTAGCATAAGAAAATTGACGTCGCACCATTGAACAAATTGTTCTATTTCAGTTCTGTGATCAGACTCATCGTTTTGAAGGATCAGGCCAGTCAATGATGTGTCGTCAGCATATTTCACAACAGAGCAAGTTCTGGTGTTGCAGCGATAGTCACTGGTGTAAAGCGAGAACAGAACTGGCGACAGGACACAACCTTGTGGCGCTCCAGTACTTGTGAAGATTGTGTCGGAGAGTGAACTACCAACTCTCACTCTCTGGGGTCTGACCAGCAAAAAATCTCTAATCCACAGAGTCAGAAATGGACAAATGTCCATGTTCTGTAGTTTATTGAGAAGAATGTGGGGCTGCATTGAATTAAATGCCGATGAAAAGTCGATGAAAAGTGTTCTCACATAAGCTCCATTGTCCAGGTGTTCATAGACACTGTGTAGGAGTGTGGCAACTGCGTCATCAACCCCTCGCTTGGCGCAATATGCAAATTGGTAAGGATCAGCAAACATCTTTATCTGTGCCAGGAGTAGATCTTTGATGATGGTCTCAAAGCACTTCATCACAACAGCTGTGAGAGCAATTGGCCGGTAATCGTTCAGGACAGATGGTTTGGCTAGCTTTGGGTACTGGGACAACAATTGACGATTTCCACAGCTTTGGAATCTGATGTGAGTCAAGCAACCATTGAAAGAGATCCCGGAACACTGGTGACAGTTCTTTGCAGCAGGTTTTCAGTATTTTACCGGAGACTCCATCTGGACCCTTTGCTTTATTAGTTTTTGCTTTCTTTAAGGCACTTTCCACAGCCAGCCTACTGAGTTCCAGCCTATTGTTGTCTTTTGCCTTCACTTTCAGCGCCTCTCCGATTTGCATGTTTACATCGCTAAAGTCTGTTACGTCAAAGCGACTGAAGAAAACATTTAGTTCATTTACGAATTCGTTGGGGTTATCCGGCGGATCAATGCTTTTTGTTTTTAGTCCACAGCCAGTGATAGTTTTCAGTCCTCGCCATGCACTTTTAGGGTCCTTTTGACTGAAACTGTCCTCAGTTTGTTTACCATATTGCCTCTTGCCTTTTTTGATATGTGCGGTAATCTCCCGTTGAATTTTTCGCTTTTCCGGTAGATCACCGTTTCTCACAGCAATGTTTTTCCTTGCCAAAAGGGATCTTATTTCTTTTGATATACGGTTTGTTGTTTGGGAATAGTTTCAGTTCTTTTTCCGGTACTATCATGTCCTCACAAAATTGTATGTATGCGCTTACTGTTTCAGCTGCTTCGTCGATCGTATTAGAATCCATAAAAACACCCCAGTCTGTGCAGTCAAAACAAGCACGCAATGTTTCTGTGTTTTCGTCTGTCCATTTCTTTACTCTTCTGATGGAGGGTTTGTGTTGTTTAAGCTTTTGCTTGTATTTTGGCACTAGATGCACCATGGCGTGGTCTGAAGCGCCCAGGCCTGCTTTGCTGTAGGCTTGCTATCCGTTAGCGACATTGCCGTAGCATTTATCCAATGTTTTGTTACCCCTTGTAGGAACATTTACATATTGGTAATATTGCGGTAGGGTGGTTTCTAGTTGGCAGTTATTGAAGTCCCCAAGAATAAGCTTCAAAGAGTCTGGAGATTGCGATTCTTGCTAATGAATTATACCCGCGATCTTTCCAGCGGCGATGTCACAGTCCGCTTTAGGTTGAATGTAAACAGTAGTGACGAAAACTTGATTAAATTCTCTTGGAAGGTAAAATGGGCGGAGTGCAATCGTTAGAAGTTCAATATCCTGTGAACAGAATCTGTGTTTCACTGCAATATCAGTACACCATCTTTTGTTTACGTATGCACAAACCCCGCCTCCGGTTGACTTATTTGAATCCGAGTTCCTATCCATTCTCTCACAGTGAAAACCGTCTATGTCTGTAGTGTATGCTGTATCTGTGCTTTTAAACCATGTCTCGCTAAAACACATGAGACAACTTTCCCTGTATTCATATCGATAGTCAGTGCAGGCTTTTAACTCGTCCAGTTTATTTCGGAGAGATTGCGAATTACCGGTAATAATTGACGAAAGAGGTGGGTTGAATTTTCGGCGCCGGAGTCGTTGGCGAATACCTCCCTTTTTCCCTCTTTTACGCCGTTTAACACGTACCTCTGTAGGAATGTCTATGCTGGGCGCAGGGACTCTGACCAATGTCCGTAGCTGCAGTAGTTCGTCACGCTGATACACAATGGGCAATGGCCGCCCATGTCCAGTTCCCGATGAGTCAGGATTGGCCAGAGTTTGGCTGAATTCTACCAGAAGAAGTGTCAAACATACACAGTTCCACAAAACATGATTCTTGAGGTCATAAAACAGCTTCAGAAACATCAAAAAGAATCAAACGTTGTACAGAACTCACAAAAAACTGACAAAAATGGAGACAAAATGCACATTAGTGCAGCGCCCTCATACACAGAGCATCTAGAATCCAAACAGTAATAATTTCGGGGCCCTTAAGCGGGCCTCGAACCCCACGTCGTATTTTTTGACACACTTTTTGGGGGACGAAAATTTTGTTTGCCCCCCCCCCAAAAAAAAACCAACAAATTGTGTTCCGGATCCGCCCTTGTGGCTACCTAGGCGGCTAATACCAAATCGCTGCAGAGGGGCATAATGATGCAACCCTATGAAAGAAAGCAGTGTATTAGCGCAAAAGCAGTCCGTGTTACGCGTCATACTCAAGCGGACATGTTTACCCAAATCTATCCGATCTCTATTGGATTAACACAATCTATCAAATAGTTTATCAAAATGAGATCTTAACGAGACGCCACCACCCTATAGACAAATAGGTATATGCGTTGTTATATACATAAAACCAGACGGGAAATCGATTGAAAATGATCATTGTGACTTCATTTCTCTTCCAGCTGACTCGGGTGGTGACCCGCATCCATGGTGGAAAATCGACCTTCAAAATGAGCACTGCTTGGGACAAGTCACGGTCCAGATCCGATTGGGTTGCTGTGGTATGGTAACGATAATAACGAGTCCATACTAGTAGAATATTTCAGGGTGGTGAAGGGATATCAAACTTATTGCGATTTTAAAGTCTTCAACTATTCAAGCGATTTTTTGATGCAGGTCGTCAGGCTTCAGTTGGGGTATAAGGGGTGGACTTGATTATCACGATGATAAGTAATTAGTTTATACAAAGAGACAAAATAATGGTCCGTTTTGTACCTGCCTTGTTGGCCTATTGATTTCATTCGGAATCAGTTGTGCAACTAAAGCTCCCCCGGCGAAGCCTGTGCCCCCTGGGTGCCCCTCTCAGAATTTGGGGAAGGCAATGAGTCTTTTGAAAGCCCATTGAGTGCCCCCTAAAAAATGAGACCACATAGTGTCCTCTATATGAGTTGGACCACAACTCGACGTTGGTTGAAATTTGGTTTTGAATCCAATGGGAGAATGCAGTTTAAAGTTGTTTCAAAACCAACAATTTAAACTCAGATCAACCTCTCATACACAGATCATGGGATTGTACATGACTGAGTCACTCCTACATCATTCACGAAAGGTCTAAATTCGCACTCATCTTCCCCCGTTTCAACCCAGGGGAAAATCGCTTCCTCGGCACCGTGGTGCGAGCAGGACTGAGTGCCAACTACGCCGAGAATCGACCGTGCGGCTCGCCGGCCACCGCGGCCCAGTCCTCGCAAGGAACGGTGACCGAGTTCCCGTGCGACACGCCCCCCATGGCTCGGTACGTCAGCCTGGACATTGATCCGTCGAGCCCTGGCGTGACGTCGCCGGTCCTGCAGATTGCCGAGTTGACCGTGGAGGAGCACACGACCAGAGCATGTGCCCGTAAGAGAGTTTTCTGATCGTTGTCGTCATGGGTGGCGATCCCGGGGAGAGGGGAGAGAGAGAGGGGGGGGGGCATGCATAATTATGTCCCTCCCAGTATTTGTTTGGGCGGGGGATACCAATGGCGTTATCTATGGAATACCCCCTTGCACAGCAAGGGGGTATGATGTGCGAGGAGATTAATTATGCAAAACAAGACTGCGTCTTGGCCTCGAGATTCTGACCATTCAGCGGGCAACTTCTATCGGGTCTTCGGTAAACCGTTGTTGTATAGCTAAAACATGTCATCCAAATTGACCAATCAACAGCTTAGTCAAATTGCCTCTAACGTCAAGTAGTTTCTAAAGTCGACTCCGATTGGCTGGCGCGCGGGGTCGCATTAAATTTGCACGTCAGGATATATCAGACGTTCGGCCGTGGCTCTGCACACGTGAATGTCTGATCCGCAGACTACTGCCCCAAATTAATGTGCACCCCCGACCCGAAACTGAAACCGACCCGACTCGAATTTGACTTCGGGTCGGATCGGGTCGGTTTGTCCATCATTTTAGTCGGGCCGGGTCGGTTTCTGTTTAGCCTTGACCAAGGCTATCAGCTTGTTCCCATACGAGCTTGTTCCCGCTACCGCGCGCGCCGCGACACAATCGCTAGTTGTACTATACCGTCAGCCCCACCGCGCGCGCCGCGACACAATCGCTAGTTGTACTATACCGTTAGCCCCAACGACCCTTGCGTGTGCTTTGTGAGCATGTACGTACGCCCCACACACACTTCCGCAAAGGCGGCAGATATGTATCTGCCGCCTCGACTTACTGTACGGCTGTTTGCGGAAGTGTGTGTGGGGCGTACGTACATGCACACAAAGCACACGCAAGGGTCGTTGGGGCTAACGGTATAGTACAACTAGCGATTGTGTCGCTGCGCGCGCGGTGTGCGGTAGCGGGAACAAGCTCGTATGGGAACAAGCTGATAGCCTTGGTCAAGGCTAGTTTCTGTTTTGCGTTTGCGATTTTTGGGGTCGGGTCGGGTCGGGTCGGTTATTAAAGCCATTTGGAAAAACCCGAAATAAACCGAAATGAACCGTTCGCTTTAATTGTGCTTTCTTTTGCTTGCATCATCCATTTTATAAACTGTGTCGTTGTATCACTAGTATGTTTCGTATGTCCGTCTGCCAAGTTTATTAAGTTTATGTCCACTCCGTTTGTTTGTCTGTTTCTGTTTCATTGTTTTGTTTTGTTGTCTTTTGTCTTTTGAATTTAGTCTTCCTTTTTCAGTATTGTTTATATATTTTTTGTGTGTTTAAGGCATTCCGTTTATAAGCTTCGGCTTCTTGTGTAATGCCTCCACTTAGTAGTTTTCATGTAACAATTTTTTTGTTTTCTAAAGTGCTTATTCATGAGGAAATCAATGTTTCTGAAATGAAATGAAATGAAACCGAAACAGAATGGAAATTCCCAAGGTGCAGGAGTCACAAAATAGTTTGCGGTCGGTCTCGATCGGTGTATAATGTAGGCCCACTATAGTACTAGTAGCTCACGTTGTGAGTGCCACATGGTATGATTCAGTTAATGAAAGGCGACATTTTTTTTACTCGAAACAGGTCAGTTTTGGCGGGAAAAGCCGAAATTTGCCAAAGCCAGATTCGGTATTTTTCTTGGTCGGTTCGGTTTCGGGTTGATTCGGGGCGGTTTCCTTTGAATTATTGTCGGGTCGGTTTGGGTCGGTTTTAGGTAGTCCAGCTCGGATTCGGTTAAAGCATAAGCCACGATAGCCTTGGCGAAAGGCTACCTTTCCCATAGCCCTTCTCCAAGGCAACCGTGGCCTTAATACCGGCGAAGCCGCGAAATCACGAATATGGTATCATTTGACTTTTCAAGTTACGAACATCATAATAAAGCGCAAATCATTAGCTTTTCAATGGTACCAAATTTATTTCTGGAGCTTAATTTTTTCCAAAGATATGCCGCAGGAACTTTAACGGTGTCCCACCGAAATTCGCCAACCTCATTTCAAAAAAACAGCTTTGAGAAATACGCATTGCGCCGCCGACGGCAGTGAAAACGTTCTTCAGTTTACAACTTTTGGGGATATTTTTCCCCCAACAAAAAGGCATAGTGTGAATCTTAGATACATTGGCTACTCATATTGATTTTGACATGATTTTTTGTGTGTGTATCCATCTTCAGGCGTTGATTACTCAAAACATGGTTTTGGGTGACATTCCTCATTTTTCCAGAGTAGGTCAAATTATAGACCACAACTTGCTCGGACTATGGCTAGATGCATTTAAAGGGAATGTACAACATTTGCTTTTGCTGCAATTTTCAGAAAACAATGGATTTGGAGGATTAGTTTGATATAGCAAATATTGCTAAACTGGCTTGTTTCATGTTTTGGGCTTGTGAGAAGCTGGAAAAACCATCATGTTCTTGTAGTCTTGCTCCCTGACCCACTTAAGATGAAACGGATCAATTTATAGACGTTGGGAAATTGTAAGGTCACAGAATCAGTCTAGCAGGCTTGTACCCTTCACAGGTGTGTAATCAATTGCAAAGACTATGCAATATGAAAAATTAGGTACAGTTTTTGAAAAACTTTGAACCCAGTTTTTTAATACATTTTTTTCTCGAAAATGTCGGCACACGTGGAGGCACGATTTTACAGGATGCTTTAGACTGTCATTCCCTAACAATTTTTTTTTCAGTAAGGTATTCCGTGATAATTTGATCATTTCGTGTTTTTATGTTTAAAAATGTTGTATCTTTCCTTTAAGGAATCAGTGCAATTACCATTCTCTTTGTATATAATTATTGTACATGTATGACTTATAACTAGACTGGCATTTAAATCGCACTCCCCATATCTTTTCATCTTCATATTCCTTCTCAGCTCGCATCATTCAGTCGACCACATTTGAGAGGCTGTACAAGAAGGGTCTGATCGACAACCGCAACCCACTGTCGACCAAGACCGCCAGATCCTTGACGACCTGCGCCGATTTCTGCACGAAGGAGACCGACTGTTTTTCCTTCGATTTCGGCAAGAGTCTCAAGCAGTGTCGACTCTACAATCTCAACTCAACGGACATAGTGATGACACCCAAAGATGAATTCGCCGTTTATACCGTATACTCAAACTGATTTGGGAATTGCGACGAACTGTATCGGAGAGATGTAAAATGTAATACTTTCAGCTGCCCGGCAATGACCGAGTTTGACTAAGGGAATAAATGTGTGCTTGGCCGGTTTTATACCTTATGTTTAAGACCGGTTTGGAGTCTGGACGCTGATAATGATCCGAGCCGAAGCTTAGGGCGAGGGTCATTCATAAATACCTTTTCCATCGAACGGTAAAAACAAGTCAAAATTATAATTTTCCACCGATTTGGTTCAACACGTTTACTTCATTTTTTTTAACACCCCTCTCTAAGTTACGGTATGTGCCTCTCGCGAGTGATTCGTAAACAACTCCTTCAACCTCGTCCCCAGGGTGTCGAGCAGTACGCGCCCACCACTACCTGCTCTCTCACCCTGGCATTGGATCATTTGCATGTGCAAGATTTTTGCACACGTATGCAAATGAGAATAGTCTGGTACCAGCCTGTGCGTTACATTCGCGTTTGTTTTTTTGTGCGGACTCTCTGGGGTAAAAACAGAATCAATTCGTCACAGCGCGAGCGTGGCGTGAGTTACGAAAACACGATTTTATTTCAATTAAACTGTCACGATCTTAACGAGACAACATGCAGTATCACATGCCATATTAATATTAACAAATTGGAAAGGAAATGAATATTTCCTAGAAGGCGTGGAGGAATGATCGCGAAAACACGTACTGCACGATGTGAATAACAACACCAAGTACACGATAGAAATCCATTTCTAGCCAATTGCGGTATCGAATCAGGATACAGGAAGAAAATTTCCTATCCAGGGCTTACTATTGGAAATGAGGTTGGACATTAAGTAAGCACTGGGGACGAGGTTGACAACTCCTTAATGTGCGAGTGGCGCAGAACGCAGCTGTGCCGTGTAGTGTACACTTAGGACTATGAAATACGTTCATCTAATAAAAGGGTAAAAGGGACCACATTTCATCGGAGTCTAAAATTCATGCGTCCCTGGAAAAGTGTTTAAGACCAGCCAGCCAGTGTTTTATCAACCGTTTAAGACCGGCCACGTGACGGGCTGTCGATCAATATGAATGAGCAAACTTAGACCCGTGAACGTGGCTATACATAGCCACTTTTCAATCTATAGTAAAAACACTCTATTGAGATACGGAGGACCAAAAGTGGACAACCCATTTTCTCAAAAATCAGCTAGGACAAAAACAGAATTATAGTTGAAATGAAGTCCTCTTTCTGAATTTTCATTTTTCTATTATCAAAAATTGGGATTTTTTATTTTCTCGTACATAGGCGGTCCAAAAGTGGACAAACCAAATTTGCGAATTTCTTCGGGAAAAAAATCGGAAAGAGCGTTTACGTCCAAACCAAATTTCCGAATTTCTACTAGCAGAAAATCGGAAAGTGCGTTTACGTCCAAACCAAATTTCCGAATTTCTACTAGCAGAAAAATAAACGTTTGATACCATAAACTAAATTTCATCTTTGTTGTACTAGTAGAAAATCAAGGTGGAATTGTTAAGCGGGAAATGGGGTTAGATTTTTTGGGCTAGTCCATAAGTCATTTGGGGTAGGAAACCCTCCTCAGCAGAATTTGGTGGGGTTTTTTGACAATGACAAATGCACTCTCTTCTTTTTTAATCTATAGGCCTTTTAATATTTAAAAACAATATTAATATTTAAAAACAATAGGGGAGGCACGTGACTAATGATTTTATAAATCTTGAGCAAAATTGTTTTCAGTCTCTCTAAAAAAAGTCCAATGCGATCGCCAAATATACAGTTATAATAATAGAACTTAAGTCGGCGTCGGCCAAGGGCGGATCGGGGGGGGGGGGGCAACGGGAGCCATGCCCCCCCCCCCAATTTTTAAATTTTGTTTTAAGTGACGTGGCAATGAAGGCAGTCACTGCGTACACCACCATCTTTTCCTCAAAAAGATTTGGTTAAAGTGGTCAAATCGCACCACAGAGCATCGAGAATCCAAAAATGTTTCGGGCCGTTAAGCTTAAGGCCAAATAAAAAAAAAAACATGTTTTGCGTCCCCGCCCGCTTCCTTTTTGGAGGCCCCCTCCTTTTTTTTTTAAATCACGAAAAAAAAATGATAAATTTTAAACAGTGACATCATTCTGCATTACCTCTTTGTCTGTTGCATCTAGCCCATATAAAGCTGGTATGTCATTCCTGAGTCCAAGTGGCGGCCATTTAAAAAAAAAAGCTGGCGGCCATCTTGAAAGATAGCGGCGGTCGGGCGGCCATTTTGGAAGGGAAAAAAAGGACTCCTACTTCCTTTTTTCAAAAAGGCAGGACGCTAAACATTTTTTCTTTAACCTAACGGCTCCGAACCCCACGCCCTTATTTTTGGGACCCCCCCCCCCCAACAAAACCCCGCAATTTCCGATTTTCTGCTAGTCGGAAATTCGGAAATTTGGTTTGGTCGTTATCGCAATTTCCGATTTTCTGCTAGTGGAAATTCGGAAATTTGGTTTGGTCGCGTCGTAATCGCAATCTCCGATTAAAAGTGCTAGTAGAAATTCGGAAATTTGGTTTAGTCGCAAACGCAATTTCTGATTTCCTGCTATAGTAGAAATTCGGAAATTTGGTTTGGGCGTAAACACTCTTTCCCATTTTCTGCTAGTAGAAATTCCCAAATTTGGCTTGTCCACTTTTGGACCGCCTGTGTACAAGAAAATAAAAAATCCAAATTTTGATAATAGCAAAATGAAAATTCAGAAAGAGGACTCCATTTCAACCATAATTCTGTTTTTGTTCTAGCAGATTTTTGAGAAAATAACAAAGTTGTGCCGTATTTTAATTCGAATTTCTTGACAATGACAGATCCAACACTCGTGTAAATTCAAAGGAAGCCTAACAAGTAGGCCTAAGTGATTTACCTATGGCCAAAATTATACGTGGTTATATGTCGCGGATCAAAAGATATAACAATTTCGCTTGTAGGCCTATGTATGTGAGGGAAGCGCGTGGCGTTGTATACAACACCACGTTCACGGGTCTAGGGTAAACTGTGTGAGGTATTTGTGAATATAAATTATATTGGTGTGAATGTGTTTAAATTTACTATTTAATATAAAAAAAACCACTAAAAATGCAAGTAGGTATTAGCGCACAGCAATTAATTGGTATATAAGTGATTAGGCCTACACAAACGGCCCTGCAGGTTGGTGTGTAAAAAACGGGAGACAAAATGGATTTAGTAATCTTTATTGTGTAATGTCTAATTTATTTCACAAAGATATATTAGAGCACACCGTGCACAAGCTCATAAACTTGCCTTCCATACCTACTGTGGACATTTCTTTTTTTATTCGTGTTATTAAAACATAATCGAACGGAAACAAAGTGATTTTACTCGCACAGAGAACACTCTTTCAACCGGCCATGTGTTCAATCAGGACTTCCTCGTACCGCAGTGTTCCTCTTCATTTTACGAAGGAAAACCCTAACCCCAAATGCCTCTAATAATCCTGTTTTTCAGAGAGAGGGAACCTTGTGTGGATGTGAGCAAGTCCACAAAACGTTCCCCGGCACTTCCTGCACCCTGTGGACCTCTTTTTTTTTCCCGGGCCCACAAAAAGAATGCAAGGTACTTAGAGCACAGATATTCCGCAATTTCTAACTTATTCCAGGAGACAAAGCCGTCAATTTTATTTATTGTGCAATTTCTAATATACATTTGCAAAAAGGACAGCCCCAACCAAAACAAAGCTTAGAAACTGGAGGCCTATACCATATTTAGCAACTGTATAAACCCACAAATTAAAATTGTTGCCCCCCAAAAGTAGCAAAATTAAGTTGGTGTTCACAGCTGGTTAAACATGATAATATTTGCAAAACACCTTACGATGCGCATGGGCGTCGCCAGGATTTTTTTCTAGAGGGGGGCAAAGCACCTTCCCCCCCCCCCCCCCAAAAAAATCCCTAAAATGTCCACCATTTCCCGATATATCTTCTTTTTTTTTGAGGGTGGGCAGGGACATTCCCCACCCCCAACCCATTAAATTCACAACAATATGACTTTGCGCCTCTTCCCCCCCCCCCTTTTTTTTGGCTCGTCGGGAGGCCCCCCCCCCCCAACGCGCATGACGATGTGCATCAACTTATATCATGAGTACATGAGCATGGATAATGTCCCTATTTATGTTTACATTTTGTATTAAATAGTGATAGCTTTAGGTCTAGGCCATCAGCTTCGGTCCAAAATTTTGGCAACTGGTATCAAATGAGAAGAATAATTGTCATAGCGATTTTTGGCAAGGTATACACCTCCAGAGTTGGAAAATATGTGATAACATTGCAGCGGTGGCAGCTTTTTAGGGGTTATCACCTTTTTTTCAAAATGTCCATCAAAATGCTTGTTACCACTCTAGGGGCGGTATACTTTGCGCATGCGCACTATAGTCATTTATGCCCCGATCTGATACTGGCCAAACCCCCAGGCTGATGGCCTAGTCTGGGTAACAAGGCCAGCAATCTATAATCTGCTGCAATTTGTTTCCTTTCTTACCTAATTTTTTTCAAAGCAGTCAACATTTTCATGAATATAACATGCTCTTTTTTTCAAATTTTCAAAACATATTATAATTTTAGACAAATTTCATGTATACCTCAAAAAATCTTATTTAGAGGTATAATATTTTTTATAAATACATGTATATTGATTTTTTTTGTGTGTAAAATGTAATACGTTATACACACTGACATTGTGGATAATGACAAGCTGTACATTCTGCACTGATTCCCACGAAGTAAAAAAATAAAAAAGCGTAATTTAACTTTGAAGTTAGTACATGTCTGGAACTAGACAATCAGTGGTCGGTTAAGTCCAGACTTGAAATGAGCCTAGACATCTATTTCGACAATCTGGATTCCAATTATGTTTAAGTCCGAGTTTTCTAGGATTTTGCTTGGGCCAAATTTCATAGAAATACTGCATCAAAATGTACGACTTGACTACATTGTTGCTTAGCGGCCATGTGACAAATTTTTGTGAGGAACACATTTTGTGCCACTTTCCACTCCTCTTAAATGTATGAAAACTATTTGCCCCCCCCCTTTTTGGTTAATTTTATTGCAAAAATTGTCCACTCTTTTCCGGACAACTCAGGGCGCTGTTGCTGTGATGTCATCTCAGGAAGATACTGTTCAGTTAAGGGGTTTTCTGTTCAAATTATGAACCCCAAAACATGCCCATTGAAAACGTTTGTGAGAAAAGTTTGCTCATTGGCTTATACTGCCATGTACTGATGCAACAATGAATTGCCAAAGAAAAGAAAATTTACGACAGCAAAATATCAAAATTTCAGGCAACTTTTGCAGTAACATTGAGGTTTCTGCCTGAAATGACATCACACTTTTGCTCATGAATATAGAAATACACTAGCATAATAATAAAAAGGCACCAAATACCGTTGAAAACGATAACTGAAAATATAGATTAAATGGGATACAAAGGTGCATTTTCAAGGATTGCTTTTCAAAAAATTAAAGGAATCGTTGAGGATCAAGTTGTCAGCCTCGGCCGGTTAAACTTTCACTCTATATTCAAAGCAGATGGCCCATGCTATTTCTCTTATAATTTTCATAGTCTTATAAATGGAGCGCATGCAATTATAAAAAACGTCTGTTCATTCAAACATTTTTAAATTAATAAAGATTTTAAAGCTTACAATGAAAAGTAAGCTAACAAACTTCAACTCCTCAAGGAGAAAGCTTTGGCATTTCAGAGTAGATAATTTTTTAGAAGAAAAAAAATGGATTCAGACTTACAGGCTGGTCCATCATATAACACCTACAATGCACTGCACCCATCAAGCATTTGGTTGAAAATACATGTACATTTTTGCACATCGAAATATGTAACTGTGTGTTGTAGTCATATTTCACTGTGAGATTTCTTCTTTAGTTTAGATAATGTTGATGCTTTTTTAAATGTTGGTGCTGGGTCTAAATCCATCTAGCGCCCCTCGGCCATCAGCGCCTCAATTTCTGCAATCTCTCTTGGGACGTAGGGGCTCAGGTTCTCAGCTCCATCTTTGGTCACCAAGACGTCATCCTCGATTCGGACCTGTGTCGGAAACATACTCAAAAACTGACTCAAAGGGCCCGCTCATACTTGGTGCGAACATGAATGCAAAGCAAAATTTGAAAAGTCATGTCAAGTTTTTGTGCTGCAACCTCACAAAAACCTGAACATATCTCACCTCAACCAGCCTTACATTCTTGTGGGGGAGACCTTTGTTTCCCTTCTTTTGTTCTCCTTTGTTCCTATTGAAATCTCAAACTCCGTGGCATTTTCCTTATGGGACAGATACATTTCTAAAGACTTGTGGTGTCTATAGGGTTTATTCACAAGTCTCCGATATTAAATTGAAAGGGAGGTAAAATCTTCATTTCTGAAACTTGCAAAAAAGCAATGAAAGCAATAAAGTTAATTACAAATTAGTACCAGTCTTCTCTGATGAAAAATACATTTTTTTTTGGATTAAACGTACCTAATATTTTACGACCCAATAAAAACAAATTTGAAAGTAACGCTTGCATCATCCCATTCAACAGTTTATAATATACTTTCAGGGAAAGCGATCAAAAAAGGCTTCTTTGCGAATACGGTTGATTGTTCGTATTGTTACTCTGCCCCATAAGGAACCATGTGCGTGTTTGGGCTTATCTCGCTACAAATGGTTTTATGTCAAGTTTGCTTAATTCATACCTGCGTTTTGAGAACTGGAATATCCTGACAGTTGGAGCAACATTTCAGACAGCATAAATGACAACCATGACAACGATCACGATCATAATAATTATTACAATGCCTCTGGCAACTCATACAAAACTTAAGCATCTCATTCACTAAAACTTATCATCTGCTAGTCTTTAACTCAGACTAACACTGTGCCTGCTTGTTTATATTTCCACAAAAGGGTTCATCACTGCTAGTCAGTTTAACAGAGCAAAGAAGAGCTGCCACTCACCCCACCAAAGTTCTTGAATCTTTCCAAGACGTCAGGGCAAAGGAATGGCATCATCTTAGGGTCCTTCAAGGCAGGTTCCAGGGTCTACAAAGCAAAGGTGTTCACGAGCATTACTGAAAGGACATTGTAGCAGATATGTGCTTTGATAGGAAAATGGAGATTCCATCCCCTACAGCAGAAACTGCTTCTGTTTCTGAAGGTGTGCCCAACCCAATGTAAAAGACTGTCAGTTTTAGTGGCACTGTACCCATCCTGACAGATTCCAATAAAACATGCCGTTCGGATTTGATGGGTTGAGTTCTGTTAGGGTTAACCTTTTGCTAGTTCTTTTTATGATTTTTGGGTTACATCCATATAGTTACATTTACTAGGGGAAAGGCAAATTTAAAAAAAAATTAAAAATCATTAACAAGTTCAGTCTAGTGCACATGCAATCAGTGGCGTAGCGAGAAATTTAATTGCGTGGGAAAAGTTTACCAAAGTTTTCCCCTAAAATTTAGATTTGCTGGATGGCCATGAAAGACGAGAAGCTAGGATTTGAGAAATGTCGGATAGTTTAAGCTGCCTCTGTGCAAGTGGGCCGTGTCCAGCGTTCAGCACACTGCCACTGTTCAGGGGCCAATTTCAAGGCGCTGCTAAGCACACAAATCTGCTTAGCACAAAAAAAGGCTGGCTTATAAAAGCAGGTTACCAGCCGAAACTCATGTAATGTATATTTGCTCATGATTAGTATTCAGCTGTTGTTTGCTATCACATGGAGTTTTGGCTGGTAACCTGCTTTTATAAGCCAGACTTTTTTGTGGTAAGTAAATTTTTGTGCTTAGCAGTGCTGTGAAATTGGGCCCAGATGCGCAGCGACCCCTCCTTTCTGTACCCCCTCCCTAATCCATCACCCCCCCCCCCCCCCCCCCCCCCCCCCCCCCCCCCCCCCCCCCCCCCCCGTTGGTTGTCACTTTAAAAAACAGAAGTTTGACTTACTGCTTTGATGAAGTAGCATCCAGGTTCAACGGTTATGACCATACCAGCTTCCAGAACACGGGAAGTGCGCAGGTTACGAATTCCTGGCCTTTGGACCCTCTCAACACCCTGCCAAGAACATTGCAGCATCTTCAGGGTTGATTCAAGTCAAATTTCATGGGGGCATTTCTACCCACGAGCAACTCTACATATGTAATACATTACATTACATTGTATTTATTCATTCATTTAAAAACCAAAGAGTGCTTGGTTGGTATAGAGCAGTACAGGGAGTAACAGGTACATGGAAGACAAATTGGGGCAGTACAGCGGGTAACAGGCAGGGCAGTTTGGGGCGTTACAGGGAGTAACAGGCAGGGCAGTTTGGGGCAGTGGAGTAAAAGGCAGGGCAGTTTGGGGCATTACAGTGGTAACAGGCAGGGTGGTTTGGGGCAGTACAGGGAGTATCAGGCAGGGCAGGTTGGGGCGGTACAGGGAGTAACAGGCAGGGCAGTTTGACGTGGTACAGGGAGTAACAGGCAGGGCAGTTTGGGGCGGTACAGGGAGTAACAGGCAGGGCAGTTTGGGGCAGTACAGAAAGTAACAGGCAGGGTAGTTCAGGCAGTACAGGGAGTATCAGGCAGGGCAGGTTGGGGGGGGGGATACAGGGAGTAACACGTAGGGCAGTTTGGGGCGGTACAGGGAGTAGCAGTCAGGGCAGTTTGGGGTGGTACATTGATTAATGGATTAAAATGGTTTGATGTGAGAAAAAAGGGAGCAAACTCAGATCCCCGATGCTAAAAAAAAATGTTTGCAATGGAACGTTCCTCACAGAGAAGGAATGTTCAACATTTTAAAAGACCCTCTAATAGGTTGGAGACCTCATGAAAGAACTGACGATGGAATGCTAAAATATGAAGTCTCAGCAGAGTGTGCTTGGAAATAGATCGGCTGACAACCCAAAGTAGTGTACATTACTGAGACTCTGGCCAGCCACATCTTTTTGCTTTTCGTTTCTGTTCTTGGTAAATCTCTATGATTGCTGTCAGCGCCAAGCGATGAACGTTGCACAACACTTTGGCTATCTCCTGATCTCCGTGAAGTAACCCCTAAGAACTTAGCAAGCTAGTCTCACCTCTGGGTAGCCACCCACATCATGGGTGTCACATCCCATGAAGTGACCGAGGCCGTGCGGCATGAAGACAGCCCCTAAGTAAACCTTCATCATCTCGTCCACATCACCCTTGACCAAGCCATGTGACTTCAGCTCAACTAGGATGGTCCGCTCAGCAAGGAGATGCATGTCTGTCCACAGGACACCTAAAGGTCAAAGGTCAAAGGTCAATGACAATGGATAATCATTGAATGAGGTCAGGCAACACCCCACAACTTCTGAGATAACCCTGCTTGTCTGAAACACTAGTAAATGTTTAATATGCAAAACAATATAACTTAAATAATTGTTACTTTTTTGACAGGCTTTAATAAATTTCAATACCTGGTTTCATTGCCTTGAAAACAGCTCGATTTGCTTTCAGGACAGTTTCGTAGATGATTCGCTGGTCGTTGTTAAACTTGCCGTTAGCGGGGAAGGCCACCGTGATATCAGAGGCGTATCCATAATACTCTGCACCCATATCAAAAGTGCTGCAAGAAACAAGAGGGGTGTTCATGTGAAGAAAGGTTTCAAGTAGGGCAAAACCTAATTTTATTTATATCACCCCGACGCAAAAATTCCATCTTATAATAGTTTATGCGGTACCCGCTGCTATGTACATCAGATTCGAACCAGCCAACCGATCCCGTTAGCTCGGTGGTCGAGTGGTAAGACATCTGCACTAGAAAGCAGGAGCTCGTGGGTTCGAGTCCCACCCGAGTGATTTTTTCCAACTTTCACTTGGGAGGTAACACACTGAGTATACAGTGTTTAAAACGTCGGTGAAGGGCAAAACCTCATTTGAAGTACATATATTTCCAAGGTGTAGCTAGTCCTTTCAAACCAGTTAGTTTCAGTATTTGCCTCGAGAGTGTCATGCCTGTTACTTCTTATACCGCCATAAACTGCCCCAGCACTGTGCGGTTTTATGGCATGGATGCTCGTGAGTGCACATTGCGATTCCCATGGCTACATCATGCTATTACATAATTGTAGTAATTAATACCTCTGCCAAGGGGGTTATGTTTTCATTGGCGTTGTTTGTTGGTTGGTTTGTCTGTTAACAAGATAACTCAATAAGTTATGGATAGATTTGCACGAAACATTTTTTTAGGGGTGGTCCTTGGTACAAGTACAAATTGATTAGATTTTGAAAGTGATCCGGATCTGGATCCAGGATTTTTTTAAGGATTCTTCACCATTTATACAAATATTTTTCTGGGGTATACTGACAATATGGTGGGGACTTGTTTATAAATGGCGGAGGTTTGTGCTCTCCGAGTGCTTTCTAGTTGTTATTTAAGGACTCTGTGTACTGGAGTGGGAAATCATCTTGCGCTTCGCAGAACCATGAATTCAGCCAACTACTACTAAAAAATAAAATAGCTATGCACTTCATGCTGATTTCAGACCGTCATCTGGTTCTGGAGTGACGCTGAACCAAATGATCCCCAAAATTTGAATGTTTAGATAAAATGTTTGATGGTTGGCTTGCACGTACTGCGTGATGTTGCGCAGAATGCCGATGTACCGGTGCAGTGTGAATTTAGGACTTTGAAATATTGACTCACTGGTGGTATTGCAATAAATTAAAATTATTGTTGACGTACCAAATATCTCCATCCTGGATTTGGCTGTTGTTGGGGGCGCCTGCATGCCCATAGTGTAGGACAGAGGAGTTGTGTCCACTAAAATGATGAAGAGACATCCGGAAAACAGACAAATTAGCAAAAAAGAAAATCCTAGGAAGTTCCAACAATTCCCACCTTTTATAATCTTACACCCGGATGAGATTGTCAATTAAAAAAACCCTGAAAATTGGATTAAAGGTCAGCAAGATGCATTTCTTCCAATACTGATAACGTCTTTCTCTAAAATTTAAACAGTCTGAATTCAGACAAAAATCTGAAAAACCGATGGCTGGTACAAAACGATAAAGATTTTCAATTTTGAAAGTTTTTAACTTTTCCATTTAGGAAAAAAATCTGAACATTTTGGGTACAGATGTTCTCAGAGAGAGGGATGTTATTGATGGAATAGGGACAAAATGTTAGGAAACTTTTCAACATTTTAGACTTCATTTAAAAATTTATATAAGATTTGCCAAAAAAAGAGAAAAATAAAAGGCTGGACATTAAAAGTTTCATTCCTAAAAACAGGCATGTAACAGGAAATTTAGGATTTTCTTTTTTGAAATTCCAAACAATATAAGACTTTATACAGGGTTTTTCAATTTGTAATGGCGTTCATGAGAAAAAAAAGCCGAGGAAATCAGCGAATCTGGAATACTTACACCGCGTTCCCACTTGAATTTGGAAAAGGTGGATCACGATCCGGCATTTTGGTGTGATCGTTATCTTACCGCAACGAAACCGCAAGTCGCGTTCCCACTTATGCTTGATCCACCTTTTCAAACGGAAATGTTGGGTCTGAAAGGTCACTGAGTTCGGAATTACGCGCGCTCTGTGGAGTGCCAGTAGTGTTGCATGCTAGGCCAGGATGGGTCAGTTTTTAACAGTGCTATGAATTCACCGACAAAAATTACGCGAATTCACCGACATAAATCACGGATAGAGGATCCGTACGTGCATAAATTAACTGGGGAAATCGAACAGCGCCGCTCATTGTGTGACATCACGGCAGAAACCAATGCATCGATAAGGGATTCCCTGGTTCTGAAGGTTCTCATTGGTTAAAAATGGTCACATGATGTACTACGACATCTTTTCCAATTTTCTATAATCAATACTACAGATTTGTCACCTCCAGACGCACCGCGTTATCGGCACTATTCTCATTGCGTATTCGTAAGCTTTTCCATGATTCTGTGCCAAATTGAAGTGTTTTGGTGAGTGCGGACTCAGAGTCATTTATGGATGGAAAAATAAGTAAAATTTCTCGAAAAAAAAAAAGGTTTAGAAATGGAAGAATACGCAACCAAAATTGTAAAAGGCCTAGTGTAGTTTCAGGATATACCACGTGCATGCGCGGTGCTAGCCCGTAGTTCAGCGGTTGTTTATTGTGCACATTGAGTACGTTGGAAATTTTCACATGAGCTACATGCCTGAAAGCGTGTTTCTTCGTTCTTAAGACCGCAACATTTTCGCGCCACTCGTGCACCGTGCGGATGTTGACAGGTCAAATTGCCGGATCAGATCCACCTTTTGCGTTCCCATCTGCCGTGATCCGCCAATTGCCGGATCTGATCCACCAATTGGGGGATCTGTATCCTGGTCCAGAGGTGGATCAGAAAAGGTGGATCTGATCCTGATCCACCTTATAACGGGTAGCGTTCCCACTACACACAATTGCCGGATCTGATCCACCAATTGGGGGATCTGATCCGGCAATTTGGCAAAAGGTGGATCAGATCCCCCAATTGGTGGATCAAGTGGGAACGGGGTCTTACATGCCTGTTAAAAGAGAAAAATCACTGGGCAAAGTAAAACGGACTGGAAAAAGGAAAAGGTCATAATTTTCCGGGGTTATTAGCTTTCCTTACCTGGCACAGATGCAAGTATATGCCACTCTGCGACAACCGCCGTGGTAGTACACATAGTGCTGGAATGTACTGCATGGAAACATTCAATAGGAAAAACAACTTATATGATTATAACCATTCCCTCTAGAAGTGCAGTTTCCGGACCATACTGTGAGTCACCACAAAATGTAATGGCTGTGGTAAATTGTGTCGTGCATTTCAAAGGGGGGGGGGGGTGTCTAACTACAAGATGACAGTTAACAACCATATTCAAACAGAGGAGCTCATTCAAATTCTACTTTGTCAATGCACTCCAAGTGCAGTTGACAGCTCCAAATTGTTTGGGCTAGCTTGTTCATTTTGCCTGATGAGTATCTTTTGTATCTCATTTTCAAGCCCTGCATTTTTCTCACTTAAAGAAACTATGGGTTGAGTGGGAATACAGTGTTTGGACACGACAGCCGACACACCAAAAATGTACAAACATTTGCAAATTCAAAACAGATTCAATCTGATATTTTAAACCCATAAACCCATGAAGTACTCCGACGACTCCATTTCTCAGGTTTTACTTGTATTGTAACTGTTTAGATTTAAGAATTCTTGCCCAACTTGTAAACAATACTGCACAGTGCCCTCTATGATATAGCCTTTCACCAAGGCCATCGTGGCTTAACTTGCCCGCATTAGACAAAGCGGCGAAAACGCGAAGTGACTTGAGCGGGAGACCACACATGCGAGTGGCAAAGCCACAAGGACCTTTTCTAATTTGTCAAGAAATTCTTATGTTTTTCTTTATAATCTCGATTTTTGCTACCCCAAAAGGGTAGCAAAATTCCAACCAATCAGCAGCCTTTTAGTGCGTGCGTGGCTACTACCCGGACGTGTCAATGCGCCCGGATGCTTGCACAAAATTTAAAAACAAAAAATGCGAGTCTAATTTTCCACGAGACCGTGACCGCGTAATTGTTCTTACATTATCTTATTTTAATTTTACTTTTAAAAGTATTTCAAGAAATTATTTGAGTGTATGAACTTATTTTTCATCTGAACTTACCATTATTTGCTCTAACATTTTCCTTACTCACCCTTCTTTTTAAAAATGGAAGTGACTAAGCAAAATCCGTGTTGTGATTGGTTATAACCTTCAGCACTCTTCTTATTTGCATAAAAACTATGAATAATTCAACAAAATCAAGTCGGAAAAGGCCTCGTGGCTTTGCCACTCATGCGTGCTGACTTAATCTTTGCTCCAGTCGCTTCGGGTCTTCGCAGCTCCGCCGCTCTAAGCCACGATGGCCTTGGCGAAAGGCTGTCTATGATAAGGCACTGAGTCCGATACCCACCTCTCTAGTTGGTACTCCATGAGCCCTGGACGGGCCTTCCGCATGACATCCTTGTGAGCTTCACAGCTCAGCGCGCAGACATAGCGAAGGACCTCAAGCTCACCAGGGCTTTTGAAGACACGACTGCAAAACATGAATGAAGGAAAGCATATGTCAAGTGACCAAAGAAAATGTATTATTTCATACTCTAAAGAAATACTATGCACTATTTCTCACGAAGTTGCTGGGTAGAAAAAACTTGCTAGGTACAATTTGCACTAAGTAACATCAGTAAAATCAGCGGAGAGCCTGCAGTCACAACCAATGTGCATCGCATGACTCTTTGGTACCCTATTATCTGCTGGGCACAATAGTTTTTTGTGTTTATGCTAAGCAGGGTTCGCCCTTAATATTTCTTTTTCACTAGCCAGCCAGACTAGTGAATCTAGTCCATGGGTCTTTTCACTAGTCCGCAATACAACTTTAAAATGTTTGCACCAGACTGTCATAAACAACAATGTTATTTGCAATAATTTTGACTCGCCGGGCAGACTACTTAGGGAATGGTTTTGACTATAGTCCGCCGCTGTGTTTACTCGCATTTGGTGAATGGACTACTGCTAAGGTTGAACCCTGTGCTCAACTAATTTCTGTACTTATAGCACAAAATGGGACTGCATGATCCATCCAACTTCTCAAAATTCAACAAATGAGAAAACTGATGTGAATACACTCTGGGCAGGATGAAGTTTGTTCAAGCCACACACGAGCAAGCTCAGTGATGTATTCAATCTCAGAGGATCTCAGGCAGGACCGACTATACATTTCTTCTGAAAGGTACTTCGTGAAGGAAAAAACCAAGTATCAAAATTAATATTTTCCCCAATTCAGGAATTCTGTTAGGTTACCAATATAATGGCATTGGACTTCTGACAAAAAAAAGAAAGAAAAGAACACAAACATTTAAATAAACGGAAAGAACGTTGCATCCAGACGCCGGAAAGAAAGTTGCATCCTGATGCCGCATTATTCATTATATTTTCATCACATATTACCTCAATGAAGGTCAGTCATTGCAAAAATTTTAAAAAGACATGAATCTGGGACTGAAAACATTTCCAAGTTTGTTAGATATTACTATGGAAATGTACTCCACTCTCCATAGACTTTGTACACAACCAAAGAAGTGGTGTCTGGATACTACATTCTCTCCAAAAAAGCTCAGTTACTGAATTACAAGCTTACCATTCCGATATTTCAGGGTGAAGAATAGAGTTATTCACTTTGAACCTGCAACAAAATATTGCAATGAAAAAAAAAAACAGCAACAATTTTAAACTCTGCCAAAAGACAATTCTTATCTCATAAAATTTAAACGTGGTTCCTTTGTAGAAGTACTTTTTGCAAACCACATGTGGCATTTATGAAGGGTCAAGTTCCAGGATTTCAAAGAATCCATGGATAAATAAATTAAAAAAAATTATTCAGTTTATAAAAATATAACTTTTTTTATCATGTTTGTCCATCATCAATGGTATGTCTTTTATCTGACCTATGACACCTTAATGTATCAAGCGTTACAAAAACGAAACTTTGTTTTTGTAAAGTAAACACAATTCTGAGGTATTCGCACTTGAATAGTTCACTTTGAACCATTATATTCATACCTAGGTATCTACTTCATGCATGGGAATAACAATGCAACCTCAAAGGCCAAAACCCTGCTGATTTGAACCACACAGGCATGCAACTGGGAAGTCACAAAAAAAGAGGAAATTCAAATCTTTCCCAGACTTTGTACAGTGTTTTTCTATTTTCAATGGCACACATTGGAAGTAAAAAAGAGGAAATCAGCTGATCCGAGGAAAAGTTGCATGCCTGACCACATAGCCTAATTTTTACATTTGTTCAACTTTTATTTTTGGCCCTGTTTGTTTTTTTATTCCTGTCTCTCAGTCATGGAATTCACTCATTGGTAAGGGTCGACGTTTGTAATTCAGAAAGTTCACCTTTCCTATTTTTTTAAATTTCACTTAAGACAACAGCTTTCTTACTTCTTGATTCCATCAAATTCAGCTTCATGTGAAGTCAGCCCACTGTCCGAGTTCACGCCTTTCTGTTGAAGAAAACAAATCCAAATAAACATTTTACAAATGTTTACTGTTTAATAAAACAGTAAATAAGCTACAAATGAGCAGTGATTTTGTTCCCCAAATTACCAACCTCAAGACAGGGATATTATTGTTTCCTGCTTTTCTGGGTTCAATTTCATCTGGGGCTGTCTATTTTCAAATAGTTAAGTATTCTATAACTCCAAGTCAAAACTGCATTAGTCCAAATATTTGGATGTTCCAACCTGCCAGCTGCAACTTCGTGCTGCGGCCTGTACAAAGTTGCACAAGGAGCGCACCAGTTAAAGGGAAAATACAACATTTGCAAACATCAAAAAATAAAACTGCCAAATCATTTTGAAATACCTTGCTGGACTGTTAGTGAATGACAGTGTAAAGCATCCTGTAAAATCATGGCACCTGGTATACTGTCATTTTCAAGAAAAGTGGTATTTTTGTATCAATTTCCAATGCTGGTCGGCCGACCAGCGTTGGAAAAAAACTGGCTTTTTTTTCAAATACTGGCCCCAATTGACCATCGCACTTGTTTGCAATCGATTACACACCTATGAACGGGTACAAGCCAGCTAGACTGGTTCCCTGACCTTACAATTCCCCAATGTATGTAAACTGCTCTGTTTCTTCTTATATGGAGTCAGGGAACTACAGGAAAATGATTGTTTTTCTTGGTTTTCATAGCATTTTCGAACCAAAAACCTCAAAAAAGTCAGTGTAACTATATTTGCTATATATTTCCAACCCCCAAATGCCATCCATTTCTGAAAATTACAGCAAAAGCAAATGATGTATACATGTATTCCCTTTAACGATTTCATGCAGCGATCGATATGGAGTGTTGGAGTATTTCACAGTTATTTTTTTATAACTGTAAAGGGTTTCAACCAGCTACAAGGATGTGAACGATGAACCGCTGTCAACAAAAAAGTTACTGTCAACAAAAAGGTGGCTCAAGGGTTTGAGCCCCCCCCCCCCCCCCCGAGCTTGTCAATTTTTAAAAAAAATGTTTGGTAATTTTTTTTTTAGTCCCACGATGTTACCTCGGTGATATATATGTGGCCTATTTTCGAGTAGTATAATAGGGCTGTAATTGGCGCCCCCAACGTCAAAATAGTCCGCCCCCCGGAAAAAAAAAAATCACATTTTTTTCTGCAGCTAAAAATTTGGGCAACATTTGTTGAAAAAAAATTTGAGCCCCCCCCCCCAAGCCAAATCCTGGCTGCGCCACTGTGGCAACTGATAATAAAGCGCCGCAACTCACACTAAAATAACATCACAGTCGTGATGTAAGTACTCTTTTTGTTTTTGAATATTCAAACCAGCAAAAAACTATTTGAGCTGTTTCAATTTGGATCCCTGGTGACAATATTTTGTCATTGAATTATTCGCCCCAATACATGGCACGGCCGCCCGGCAAAAATTGAAGTTCCATTCCACGTTAAACGTTCCATTGCACGGTCACACTTTTGGAGGCTCTGCCCAATCAGATGACGAGGATTTATTCAGGTGTTGTTTAAAACAAATAATGAATATTCCACATTCGTGCAATGGAAAGAATCATTTCATTCGGTGACAGATGGAATGTTCCACTTCACTTGGTTTCACCTTGTGAAATGAAACATTCCATTTGTCACCAAATGAAATTATTCTTACCATTGCACTCATAAACTTTTCCTTATCTGTATAATAATCCTGTAGCTTACCAGTGTCAGCAGAGTAGCCGGGTTCATTGCTTCCAGTACAGTAGTAATCTGTAATGATCAGGATAAAAAAAAATATTTGCCAAAATTTAATAGGATGTGTTGTACTCTCTGCTTGACATAGGATGTTCTCTTAGTACAGGAATAATCAATTTTCAACTCCATTGAATTTCAAGATCATTTATTAACACTGCTGAAACAAAAATTATGTACTGTTTACTTTTGTTATTCATTTAAAGCTATAGTCCATCATCTGCAGCCATCCGAAAAAGTAACTGGCGAATTATTGTTGAAAAACATACTTGGTTGAAAGATAGTAAGTGGGCTAAACTCCCTGTGAAATTAATCTTTCTGGCAAGCTATCATTTTGAAGTAATCAACGAAAGAAGGCCTTTCCAATGGTGCGTCTTAAGACACACTGTAGGAACATTTAAATTAGTAGTTCGTTTTGTTATTCGGCGCAGCGCGCACAAGCATTGGCACGACGCACAGGCGCGCGCGGTTGCTATAATTCGTCGGATCAGTGCGCGACATCGCGTATAGCTGCAATTCAAAACGTGATTCAGCAACTTTTGATTTGAAATTGAGATCCTAGAATGCTATTTTTCTCGGAATATACAGCTGAAGCTGAGCTGAAACTTCATCAGGTTAGTTGTTCAGTGTCCTTCATTAGATTTTGAACACTTTTGTTGCTTCAAACGAACAAAATGCACAAATTACAAATGATGGACTATATCTTTAATGATATAAAAAGAGAATAAATGCAAATGATCACATTAGCTGTTCAATGCACCAGAAATGAGAAGAGAAATTGTGTACCTCTTCCACATAGTGAACCTCATCCACTGCATATCTCTCCTTTATGTTGTCGTTGGAGGGCAACCTGACCATTTAAGGGAAAATTTAAACATCTTTAACAAGGGTTGGTATGAGATACACAACATCTTACTAGAGCTAGACTGAGAACTGGAACATGACCCTAACTTCTTAGATGAAAGTCTCTAAAGAACAGTTTCTTTGTCATTCAGCTATATCATTTATTGACCTCAGACTTAAAGTTCTCTCCAGGAGAATACTTAACGAAACATGATGTCAGAAGTGGGATTATTTTACTCTCTGTCATGCAATGAATTACAATTAAACTGCCAAGATTTGAATCTTTAAAAAGAAAAAGGAATCTCTTTCTTTATTCGTTTATAAAAACTCAGCACTTATTTAGTGCAAGTTGAAACTGTTGCATTATAAACTTTGCAACTTTCACAACAATTTTGGGGAGGAATTTAAACAATTAAATATGCATGAAGTTTAATAAATATTTATATCAGTACAACTTGATTTGGGAGATTGTAAAATTAGCCAACACCGTTTCGCCAGAATGTTTGCCTTTCTTCCCCGACAACAAAGTTGCTTATTATCCCATCACACTCTTAGAAAATGACAAAATGATCATATCTTACTCTCCCATGTACACTATGTAAGACTCTGGTATTTTAGGAGCAAACAGCACAGCCTTTCCCGTGTCGACAGCAACCGCACCATAGAAACCGGCCAACTCGACACCAAAAGTCCACATGAAGTAGGATTCCTTCAAAATACAAATTGAAACAAACCAACAAAAGGGTAGTTCTACATAACTAAAACCATTTACTGCACATGTTGTGATAATTACAGGAGTCTTATAGTGCATGTATCTACCAACAATTAGGTACATGTACTTAGTCAAGGCGCTGAAAATTATGTCTATTATTAAAGACAGGTAAATGAAGTTTATGAGAAATACGAGACCCATTATGTAGCACCTTGGTTTACAAGATGCTGCGGCGCATATTGCAGCCACTGCCAGAAACACCAGGGCAAACTCTCTCTTAGCCATAAGTGTTACTGGGTTCTTTTAAAAACGTGCATTACACAATACATGGGACCTATGGCTTTACGCCCCATCCGAAGGACGAAGCAATAATGGTAAAATGCCTTGCTCAAGAGCACAAGCACCATGTTCCCGCGGTCAGGATTCGAACCCATATAAGAAGCCACACGAGTCAAACACCGTACCATTGGACAACAGTACGTGCTCCACAGCTTGACTATACTGGTAACTCTTGTTGTTCATTAAATCCCAAAAGATATTAGTGTTTCCTCCAATCTCTAAACTCAAAAGTTTCCAAAACCTCTGACATTTTTCTTCATTGTCTCCATTAATTGTGTACAAGACTGTATAACCGACCCCCCCCCCCCCCCCCCCAGTGTACAAGCCTATGAGTATACATGTTTACCTGGCGGAACACCAGCTCAATATCTGTGCAATACTGATTGATGTCCTTCCCTCCTTCAAGAAGCACCACTGATCCAGCAGGAACATCCTTATTGGCCCGCAGACGCTCTAGAAGGCGCCCTCTGTTGTCAGCATGCAGCGTGGCAGGGACGGTATGGGTCTTCCCACCCTGAGAGTAACCAGGTCTGTGGAGACAAGAAGAAGGGGCAGAAAACTTAATGATAAACATTCTTCAAAAAAATGAAAAGGTTTCCTCAAATGTACAAATTGCATTGAAATTCGTTGGATGCTCAGCAGAAGGGCATATATGAGCAATTCTGACGCAAAAATGATTTTCAAGAAAATTGCACTGAAAGGTTCAATAATATTCCCCCATGTGTAATATGAATCCAATGTTCTCCCACGCGTATTATAAATTGTACGATTTTGAAATTTGTCACACGTATCAATCATGAGTTTTGGAACAATTAACCTGAGTATTAATTTCTGACAAAAATGTTTAAATTTAATTAAAATAGAGGCAGTTTTCTGCATATGCCCTTTTGCTGGGAACATTTTTGTGATTACGCGCTATTGCATAAGGGCATACGCGCATAATGCCCTTCCACCGGGCACACGACGAATTAGACTAAATGAGCACAATGGAGACAATGAAGAAACATTTCTGAGGTTTTGGAAACCTTTGATTTTAGATGTTGGAGGAAAACATTGATACCTTATTATGGGGATTTAATTAACCACAAGATTAAAGGAGCATAGTCAAGCTGTTTCAGGTACATTAATGGAGAACCATTTATTCTAAGTGTCAGGACTAGAGATTAAAAAACTAGATCAACTTTTTGTAAGGTTAAGATTTTATTTGGAAAGATCAGGGTACCTGTAGCTGTAGATGGACTGCACAACTTGATGTCTGTAACCATAAAAGTGATTTCCAATCTTCTTTTATAGCCACTACTTAGCCCATACTTTCAAGGTCTTTGCAGCTGGCCAGACTGTGATTTAACTACCCCTCAATGCCAGACTTGGCTAGTTGACCTCGTTGGCTAGAATTTGGACAAGGTCTCAAGCCTGTTAATGTCTGGCATTCTGACTTCAGCTTCCAGACAGTCCAGATCGATGCCGAGATGGGTATGGATGCGGACATTTTTACTCTGAATACTACAGAAAAGGTAAGTGGTCCAATTGCTGATAGTGCATCAATAAAGCTTTGTCTCGCCCCTTAAGACTTGATGACAAGTCGTTAGATATTCATATTTTCTCTGTGAACTTCAGTCGAACTCCATCGTAATCGGCCGGGTTGCGACATATCTAACGACTTGACGGGTACGTTCCGGATCGTTATTCATATATGCGTGCAGCGCAATATGCAGTGTATCTATGCGGTGAGATCCAATGGCGCACCGCAATGCAAATGAGGACTCATTCATTCCGTTACATGGGGAGTTCTTCTCAATACGTTGGGGACATGTTTTAGATCGGGCGACGTTTTAACGGCTAAATCACTAAGGTCGGTCAAATTGTGTATAGAAATCAAATGTATCAGTGTGATATACTTGATTTATTTGAGTCGTGTATGCCCTATAATGAATTTGTTATGTTACACAACACAAAGCACAAACCCTCGAAGTTATGAGAATGACCGTCCGACAGGCCTAGAATACACGCTGGAATCTGAACCAATCAGAGTGCTCGCATAGAATTCGCCAGCGATTCAAAATACTCCCATATGTTGTGTACAAAATAGAAAACGTTTTGGCCAAGTCGGTTATTGAACATCAATAGGCAGCATCATTTGGTCTGGGAACCCGACTTCGCACATTGCAGTGATATTTTGCGTGTGTGGAGCCAGTAATTACCGGTACCGTACGCAAAACAATAACTGACTAATGGCACCAAGTCTACCACTACATGGGCTTGTACGTGGGCGTGCTGCCTGCTTCATTTGAAAAGCTAATTGTGACTTGACTTGGGACCAAATGACTTGTGATTGACTTGAGTTACTTGGTACTTGGTTGGTATACATGGAGCTATAAACACAGCTCCATGGTTGGTAATCCTCCAAAATATTCCATCTGAAGATTTAAACTGGAGGTGTGTTGAGAGTGGTCGAGATTAAGTTGTGTCACAAAGAGCATTTAAAGGAGTCTGGGTTGGTGAGCGCCACCGTTGAGTCCAGGGGGTCATATCATTCCAAGATGGTGGGGCTATTTGATTCCATCGCTATTTACTGGAAAGTCAGTTATTTCTTTCACAAGTAAATTGTTGAAAACTTTGTTTCTTTCTGACTCCTTAGAAATACATAAAATTAAACATATATAGGGGGCCTAAGGTTTCATTTTCATGCATGCCTGAAAATGGCGGAACCGATCCATATATATGGTTGTTTTCCTGTAAAAAGCTGTATAAAGTAGAAAGGGTTATGCATATAACAATTGTATGGTGACCTTGAGCATCTTACCCCAGCTGTTTTAAAGCTTTTTGGCAGAATCAGTAATTGGTTTTCATAATTGATTTTTCCCGTGCCAATAAGCTTTTACTGGAAAGCTGACGCCACTTTGATGATCATAAAGTACATGTATAATTATTATAACCCTTACATGTAAATTACTTTAATTGATAGTCTTTCAGTAACTTAATTATAGTAAGGCCCAAAAAAAAAAGTCTCCGGTTTCTGGTATGTGTGCGCGTCGCCAGAGCCATGCGCGTCGGCAAAATGAAAAAGTTTTTTTCAATGAAAGATGATGTCTCAAAACCGCCAAACTCAATGGTTTGACTGGAATTCTGCTGCTGCGCAATTTCAACGTGTTTTTAGATGGGGTTATGATCGAGAATAAGCTTTATGTGGCCTCTCTGGACTCCCATATATTTGCACTAAGTTTAGTCGGGCACCATTTGCAGTCATCAGCCGACATTTGAAGCAAAAAAGTCGGGTAAAAAAAAAAAGCCGCGTCGCCGCACCACTTTTTGGACAAGCTCCATACCAGAAACCGAAGACTTTTTTTTTTGGCCTAATACGTCTATGATTAATATTTTTAAATTAGTTTTGTTGAGTGGGAAGTCTAGAATTCTCTGCATCTAAACAGCCAGGATCGTTGCGTTTTATTTTAGCATTTCCAACACGAATCCATCTGCGATCTTAAAAAGGATTCTTGATTCCAAGTCAATCACTGACTTTGGAAACTCCATAATTTGCAATATGGAGTTGCCGAAGTCAACTGACTGGGAAATTTAAATGCAGAGAATTCTAGACTTCCCACCCAATGAAACTAAAAAGTAATTTAACCTAGGTAATGAAGTATTTAACCTACGTAATGAAGTATTTAACCTACGTAATGAAGTATTTAACCTACGTAATGAAGTATTTAACCTACGTAATGAAGTTAGCAAAAGAAACACTGGACTATCTATTGGCAAGGAAAATATCAATTACGAAAAACGATACTTGTGCCTAGCCATGGCCAAAAAGCTATAAAACAGCTGCTGCACATTCAAGGTCCCCATACAACTGTATGAGGTTATCATAAGATGGAATTTTGAGTCGGGGTGATATAAATCAAATTAGGTTTTTGCCCTTCACCAACGTTTGAACACTGTATACTCATTGTGTTACCTCCCGAGTGAAAGTTGGAAAAAATCACTCGGGTGGGACTCGAACCCACGACCTCCTGCTTTCTAGTGCAGATGTCTTACCACTCGACCACCGAGCTAACAGGATCGGTTGGCTGGTTTCGAATCTGATGTACATAGCAGCGGGTACCGCATAAACAATTAGAAGATGGAATTTTTGCGTCGGGGTGATATAAATCAAATTAGGTTTTTGCCCTTCACCGACCGTTTGAACACTGTATACTCAGTGTGTTACCTCCCGAGTGAAAGTTGGAAAAAATCACTCGGGTGGGACTCGAACCCACGACCTCCTGCTTTCTAGTGCAGATGTCTTACCACTCGACCACCGAGCTAACAGGATCGGTTGGCTGGTTTCGAATCTGATGTACATAGCAGCGGGTACCGCATAAACAATTAGAAGATGGAATTTTTGCGTCGGGGTGATATAAATCAAATTAGGTTTTTGCCCTTCACCGACGTTTGAACATTACTAGTGTGTTACCTCCCGAGTGAAAGTTGGAAAAAATCACTCAGGTGGGAGGTTATGTTATGTTTTGTTTTATGAAGTAAAAGCCAAGGGGAGTACAACTGATCAAAGATGAAAATGTTTTTAAAAAGGAGTTTTAGCGCTTCAATTCATGCAGTTATTTACAACTGATCATTAACAAAGTTGTATCATTTTCAAGAAAACACAACACAGTAAATTTGTACACTTCGCGAAGTGAGCAGTCAAACTGTCTGAGGTTACAATGTTTTAGTCTCAGCGCTTTTCAAGTTATTGAGCACATGCACGAGGATAAATTTGATTTGTATTTTGTAGCTAAAGTGAGGAGAATCCATCAAACTCAACTATAACCATGGTCAGAGTAACTACAAACTTACAGGACTAGTTCTACGAATCACCTTTTTTCCCCAAACATTTGAAAATGATCTGGTAATATACATGTAGTGTCCAAATGTTATTAAAAAAAAGCGATTCAACAAGTCCTTCTAGTCTCAGATTACACAATATAACACAAATCAATTTTATATATCATGATGCCACCCTCCAAAGACCAAACCCTTTCGTTTGTTTTGAAATAGGCCTAAATTAAAAAGTGATGATCATGATGTTGCAGCACTAGCATTTTTTTCCACATGTATGTAGTGGCTATCGTGATGGCAGCCATAACGCGATTTTTAACTGCAATCGTTACGGCAAAACACCTAACATTTCTAACTGCCCTTCCAACCAGAGTGCTTTGGTAGCTCGATTGGTTAAATGCTCAACCACCATGCTGATGCTCCTGGGATCAAATCCGCGCTACGCTGAACTGGTTTTTTTTTCTTCCTTTTTTTCTTTTAATATTTATTTAATTATGATTTTAATCAACCCTACTTTTTATCAAAGTAGATAATTTCCTTTTCTTTTTCGTAATCCGTGGCTTTGGAAAAAAATTTTTTTAAAGGTAAATACAGTCCGAGAACCATTTCAAATGCCATTCGGTTGACAGTTTCGTTCCAAGAGCCAAAGATCCTGATGTTGAATATTGTCAGGTCAGGGAACCAGACGATCGACTGCCGTAACAATATAGCCACTGCCTTTTCCATATGGCGTTCATGACCAGGGAAAGAATGGGGTGCATACCTATGTTCCCCAATACCGATGTTCCCCGAAATTCCTACCCTATCACCCTAACCCTAATCCTAAGGATTTCGGGGAACATCGGTATTGGGGAACATCGGGTAGACCCCAAAGAATGTTGCAACTTTTTTCTTCACATATCATCTCAATACAGGTCAGTCATTGTAAAAATGATGATTAAGACATGAATCTGGAACTCAGATTGAGAAACGTTTCCAATTTTGTTAGAAATACATGTACAAATACTACTATTTAGATAATTTTCTTGACTCTCCAATTCCATAGACTTTGTACACTACCGCTGAAGTGACGTCAGGTTGCAACATTCTTTCCGGCCCCACCACTAGTGCGGCTCTGCCGTACTTAGAACTATGATGCTCCGCGGAGCGGAGCAGGAGTAGTAGCTCTGCCGGTCACACACTGAGGGGCTATAAAGTCTTTCTTTAATCACGGAGGAATAATACGAAACTTTAATACGAAACTTTGAAAACATTCCCAATTTTGTTGTTAGAAAATGTACTCGACTCTCCATTGACTTTGTACACAACCAACGAACTCAGTCATAATGCCATGGATTGCTACATTTTTCCCCATCATATTCCATACTTACGCAGGTGGCATGATTACGAGTTTCTGTCTTGTTCTTGAAGATGAACTTCAGTCAAATGGGCCGATTATGACCGAACGATGCAAGCCGTGGCCGTGTGACGGTACAGTGTGAGCTATACTAGCTAGCAAGCCGATCCCTGAACTTCCGTAGAACATGTGAACAATACAACAATAGCGATCACAGGATTTGTGGTCAAAAGTTCAACATAACCACGTGATGAAGCACCTGACACATGCCTGATGATCGGGCCGTGCTACAGCCTCGTTTTATTGTGAACGATTCCTCCACGTATTATTCTCAGTATTTATCATAGTCAGGGGTACGTGATGACGCACAGGGGTTAATTTCGATGGGAACAAGGTAGCCGTTCGCGTTTTTAATGTAAAAAGTCGTCTGCTATAAATGGAGCCATATGGCTCCATAGGCAAGCGCATAATTTGCCCGGGGCGGGGCGCTAAAACTCGAACTGAAGTCGGTTTTGATACTAAATGGGTTTTAGCTAGTAGTTTGTTCGAAATTGCATACAAACACTTAAAAGTTACAAATTGTGACAATTATGATTTAATTGTATCATGTACACTTTCTATCCAATGTTTTTGCAACGTACGTTTAAAAAAAAAAATTCAGTAGACGGTGACTAATAAAATCGACTGGTTTTCTTTAAAGTAGGAAAACATCAAAAATGTTTGCCCAAATAACCTAGGCTGAAGTGGAGATCGCACATTCAAATTAATTTTAACAGCGTTGTCAGCTGGATATGTTCATTTCAAAGTACGACAAACTTGTTTGATTTAAACAGATTTCCAATATAAATGAACAGATACATTTGGGACACATTTCTTTCTACGATTGCTGTGTACTTTATTTGATATCTAATCTTGAAACTCTTCACACACATGAACATAATTAATACAACTCATAAAATAGACGGCAAAGTACACATTTATCACTCAACTTTGAATTCATCATTTCATGATTTTGTTTCAAAATATAGGAGTATGATGAAACTATAGCTAAAAATAAAAATCTTTCTCTTTGGGTTTAACCTTTTATTTCAGCTTCACATTTCAAAAAAGATTTCTTGATATGTTCAAGAAAAACAATAACAATTGCAAATGTACTTTAGAAAATTATATTTCTTTTGTTTTATAATTATATGTCTTTGTTTTATAACAAATTTTTGGTCTATTTATTATATATTTTTAATTCATTACATAAGTTCATACAAGGAAAATGAGCTTTAAAAAGACTATTACTTTGCTGAAAATGTCTGAAAAGTCAAGCAATTAATGTTCAGAGGCGAATACTAAATGTTCCTTTGTGGAAACTCTACAAAGTTACTGTAAGTCACATAAGTTATGAGCTTTCCAATGAGACATTGTGCAAAAAAATTAATCAACTCACAACAGGTAATCAATTAATTAATTTCAACTTGAATTAAGAGCAAATTTCAACTTTTGAATTAAGAGCGGGACGCTCCTAATTTGTTCTGAATAGTGTGCGCAATTTCTGCACTGGAGCACCCCATTTAAAACCAATTTTTAAAACTGTACGAAGGAACAAACAAGCAAATATATTTGTTACAGTACATTATATTCCTTTAAATTTTGCTCGGAAAAGAATATCAAAATTTTGTTAAAGAATGTATATACCAACTTTAACTCATTACTTCTGTTTTGTATCCTGAGAAATATCCAATACATTTAGTCATGCTGATTTCCTGAGCATTTACTTCAGTTTGCCTTCGACGACATTTTGTTTTTTGTGGTAAGGAAATTATCAGTGCCACAATAACTGGTAGACCATGTCTCTATAGGAAAAACGCAATGGCGCCTGCAGCCACGAGGGTTGTTGCCGTGACAACCAGCTTGAGAAATCCAGGTACAGATGGTAGAAGTCGTTCCACGATGCTATCATCAAAAGGCTTGGCCGGGATGTCCTAAATGGTAAAAAGTCGAGTTTCTATTAGCTTTGTGCTAAAACGGTAGAGGGCGCTATGTCATCTTGCCACTCATTACAAATGGAGGACACCATCTTGTAAGACAAAACCCGAGTACAGATCTTATATTCGGCTTTTTGCACGAGCCTGCACCAGGATTTCAAGTCTCTCTTGTAAATTTAAAAGTGTAATTCCCCAGTCGGCCTGCCCACCACCAGCAGGCTGGAAGCAATTAGTGTCACTTGACTGAACAACTTGAGTGAAAGGTTTGCTTTAACCCTCAACACACACTTTTAATAAAGATGTTATCTGGTGTGACATGTGTTTATGTCCAGATATGAAAGCATCTGTTTTTATCATTAAAATTGGTGCATAAAAAATGAAAATCCTGAATTATGGGGCTCAGTGATGTACATGCACATGCGGCCTACATGGGCGTGTTCAGGCATTCAAACTGTGGACGAAAAATGCCGGATGACAAAAGAGAACATATCGTCCACGATTCCCAGCATCGGTCCTCGATTGGGGTTGTGTACAAAACATATAGGAGTCTTCCTAAAAAAGTTAGTGTACAAACAAAAGAAGGACAATAGGACGTCCACGATCGACGGTGTGAATATGACTGTATGTGTGTGTGTACAGACAGGATGGCCTGGACTGGCTACCATGTGGTTTGACCATAGCGCAAGGAACCGTTCCTTTGCAGGTTTGACAAACTGCCTTAAAGGTAGAGTCCATCATTTGCAGCCATCCGAAAAGTAACTGGCGTAATTATTGTTGAAAAACTAACTTGGTTGAAAGATAGTAAGGGGACTAAACTCCCTGTGAAATTATTCTTTCTGGCAAGCTGTCATTTTGAAGTAATCAACGAAAGAAGGCATTTCCAACGGTGATTCTTAAGAAGCACCGTAGGAAAATTTAAATTAGTAGTTCGTTTTGTTATTCAGCGAAGCGCGCAGAAGTATTCGAACGACGCACACGCGCGCGCGGTTGTTATAATTCGTCGGATCAGTGCGCGACGTCGCGTATAGTTGCAATTCAAAACAATTCAAAACATGATTCAGCAACTTTTGATTTGAAATTGAGATCTTAGAATGCTGTTTTTCTCGGAATGTACAGCTGAAGCTTAGCTGAAACTTCATCAGGTTAGTTGCTCAGTATCCTTCATTAGATTTTGAACTCTTTTGTTGCTTCAAACGAACAAAATGTACAAATTATAAATGATGGACTGTAGCTTTAAGGGATTAACCAGATGTAAAAGTGCGCTAAATAAAAGATGAACAACAAAATCCGGGCATGAAAAAGACCCTGACTTTTAAAAGGCAAAATCAACTTGTGCTTAGAGGGTTTCTGATTTTTGTCTCTTGGCTTTGGGTTGAGAAGATTTAAGGTCCTTGACTTGGGGTCGTTTTTGAATTTAATGTTGGTCCACATTCTGCTTCAGAGACATCATAAACATTCAAGAAATTGATTACGTAGACAACGCCATTACCAGTGATTCAGGCTCTTCCTGCCATATCTCATCTTTGCTGATCAGTCCCTTCTGGTGCAAAATCTACGGTCAGAACAAACAAAGTGCAACTTGAAGGCCCTGTACTAAGAAAGCCTCCATGGACATAAAGATCGGAACAACTGAAGTTAACGATAAGGGGTAGGAAGAGGGGCTGTGCCAATTTTGATACCAAATTACACATAATTTAAGAAAGAGGTAATGGAAAACCTAGGATATTTTAATTTCATTTTCTTTTTCCTTTATGTATTTCTTTTAAGAAGCTCTGTGTGCTGATTGCTTTCAAGATTTTTTTTTCCACGAGCTTTTAATACTCAGGTGAGACTTGAACCCAGAACCTAACCTAACTTATGCACATGTCTTCACCACTCAATCCCAAAGGGTAGATCCAGAACACTTTATTTTTTTTGGGGGGGGGGGGACCCCAAAAAAAAATGTGTTCCCAAAAACAGTTTATTCAAAAATTTATGCCATGGGGTTCTGGTCCTGCTTAAGGGCCCCAGAAAAGTTTTGGATTCTAGATGCTCTGTTGTGCGACGTGAGGCAATTTCTGACCAGTTTAACCATTTTTTATTAGGAAAAGATGGTGGTGTATGCAGTAGCTGCCTTTTGCGACGTCACTTAAAAACATTTGGTTCGTTTTGGGAAGGGGGGGGGGGGCATGGCCCCTGTTTGCCCCCCCCCCCTGGATTTGCTCGACCTACAGAGCTTGCTGGCCTTTCTATGGGTGCCTAATCCAAAGTCCGTCTGGGCCCAATTTTTTGGCTCTGCTTACTGTTCGCGAAAAATCACTGCTCAATACTGTAGCAGAACATTCTGTGGTTACGGTAAGCTTGTTTCACAGGGTTAGGCCAAAAAAAAAAATATTCGGTCTCTGGTCAGACCAAAGTTCCGGAATTGACGCGGCCACGCGGCTTTTTTTTTTTTTTTTTTGCTTTTTTTTTTGGTTTCTTCAAGCTCGGATTGTACAGACAAGGTGGGTACTATTTTGCTTTTTTGGTGTCCTCATGTACATTGGTGTCCTCCATAATGTGCCTTGGTGCTTTCGATCATTTGCCTTGGTACAATTTCCCATTCCTTGGTGCTCTTTGGTAAAAAAAATTGAGGAGGTGCGGAAATAGAGGGCGCTGTTGGAGCTACCGCGGAACATTTTTTGAAAAAAAAAGATCGACGCGCATGATTAAAATCGACGCGCGCGCTGACCACAGACCGACTTATTTTTTTTTTTGGCCCTAGCAAGGAATTTTGGCATGGGCATGCGCATGCATACATCTCGTAACTATAAGGATTCGGTGCTTACAGCGTTAGCACAGAATTTTTCTGCTAGCGCAGTTAGCACAAAATGGTGATCATAAGCACAGAATGCTGTGGTTAATTAGCAGAGCCATGCAATTGGGCCCAGATCTTAAACTTCAATGTGAAACCTCTCTTCCAGCTCTCTCCCCAGCTTGTATCGCCCCGTCCATGTAGCCCATCCACTGGTCGGCGGTCTCTGTACCAGCAAAGTAGACACGCCCTAACGGTTCCCGCATCACCCTGTGCAAAAGAGAAAACACCCACATTAAATATTAAAGTTGATCCTTGTGTCCGAAGCAAGGGCTAATTATAAAACAGGGTAAAAAAAAGGCACTGCGTCTCTGCATTATAGACCCATTGAAGTTCACTTAATTTTGCCATGAAATTAAAGTTCCGGAAGGATATATCCTCATGATTCTCTATGCAAAGAAATGCTTAACCATTGAACACTTGTACTACATTGTATTACATTGTATAACATTGTATTTATTCCCTGTTGAATCAATACCTACATGTAAAAGTACACTAACAGAGCGTAACAGGGGTGGTTGGGCAGTACATGGAATAATGGGTTGCGGGAAAACCAACAAGGTCCACTTTGCGGCTGTGTGGTACGTACTTGCTGCATGTCCTACCAACACAACACTAAAGTAGGGTAAAAAATAATGCCCAGTAAAGGCAAACCAAAATTTACGCCTTGATTCTGTGAGTTTTGTAATATGTGTCACTACCCCAAACACTCCCTTGAGTTAAGTACCCTTTTCTGGAAGGGGTGGAGATCTAGAAAGTAGGTGGCTAACCTCCTACATCTGCCAGTCCAATATTGTTTTTACAAGTTTCTGGAATGAAACTACCCCACGATTTCCTTCCCTGCAATAGTGTCCTGCAATGTTGTGAATATTGGTTGACTGTTCAAGGCCTTAAAGGGAATGTACAACATTTGCTTTTGCAGCAATTTTCAGAAATGAATGGATTTGGAGGATTATTATGTTATAGCATATATTGCTATGACTTGCTTCACGTGTTTGGGTTCGGAGATGCTGGAAAATCCAAGAAAACCAACCATGTTCTTATAGTCTGGTTCCCTGACCCCACTTAAGATGAAACGGAACAATTTATAGACTTTGGGAATTGTAAGGTCAGAGAATCAGTCTAGCAGACTTGTACCCCTTCACAGGTGTGTAATCAATTGCAAAGAAAATGCGGAATAACTAAATATGAACAATTAGAAGCAGTTTTGAAAAAAAAAAACAGTTTTCTCCAACGCTGGTCGGCCGACCAGCGTTGGAAAAATACAAGTTAATTTCTTGAAAATGTCAGCACACCAGGAGGCACAATTTTACAGGATGCTTTGGACTGTCATTCCCTAACAATCCAGTTAAGTATTTTGTGAGTGTTCATGTCGTTTTTTTGATGTTTGCAAATGTTGTATCTTCCCTTTAAATTTGCTTCTGCTCGACAACTCGACTATCTCTCAAAACAATCCCGCATCTGCCACCAGTTCTGACTGAATACAAGCTTCTGACCTGCCAAACTGGGTGAGGACGCCTGCAGGTAGGGAGACCATGTAGCAACCACCCGAGAATTCCTCATCCATCCAGTTAAGCTCCACATAGTTAATGGGCTAGACATCAACAGGAAAAAAAGGTGAAATGAGAGCCAATCATAAGTCAAACCAAACGCCAGGCCAAAGGGTAAAATCGTTTTTTATAAATACACCCTTTGCATGACAGCCATGTTTGAGGTGCTTTTTTCCACAGAGATACACGTAAGTGATATCTCTTGTGCAATCCTTGTAACTGAATTAAGGCCAAAACCAAAAAAGTCCCCGGTTTCTGGTATGCGCGCACGTCGCAAGCTCCATACCAGGAACCGAAGACTTTTTTTGGCCTAAAGTAACCAGAAGTAACTCAATGATGTATGCCAAATGCAAACAGTGTATGTCTAATGACTTAAATTTAGGGTCCATGAGGTGAATCTTTCTAAGGAACATGTTTTGTGCAACTTTCTACTCCTCTTAAATGTATGAAATCTGTTTGAAACATCCCTTTTCGGTTAATTTTATTGAGAAGTGCACTTTTATCAAACATTTAAAGTTGTCCATGCTTTTCAGGACACTATTCAGTTTAGGGTTTTCTGTTCACATGGTGAACCCAAAATTTCCTCATTGAAAACATTCGTGACAAAAGTTTGCTCATTGGCTTACTGCCATGTACATGCACATCGAACACCAAAGAAAAGAAAATTTACAACAGCGAAATATTGACAACTCGGGCAAGTTTTGGAGCTGAAATACCCATAATATTGAGGTTTCTGCCTAAATGAAGCCGGGTCACACTTCATGTGAATGCGAAGCCAATTTGAGGTCATGAAACATTCGCTGCGAAATTCGCCTGAGTTGAAATATGTTCAACTTTTATAAATTCGCAGCGCGAATACTTGCCGCGACGTCACAAATTCGCATTCGCTTTCGCTTTCGCGCAGAGTATGAACCGGGCTTGACTTCACACTTCTGCTCACGAATATGGAATTAGCATGAACATAAAAAAACAAAAAAATATCAAAATTCCCTTGAAAATGGCAAAACAAAAATTGAAAAAGGGGTTTAATGGGACACATGCGTCTTTTTGAGGATTGCATTAACCCTTACTCTCTGAGGGTAGTTTACTGCATGTCAGTTGGTTATGCCAATGCCCTCCAGCTGCAGTTTATTGGCAGATAGTTTGTCTTAACAGTGAAGGCTCCAATTGGCAGGAGTTGGAGGCCCTGGAGGGTGCCTGATACTGACCAGCTGGGGGCACTCACTTTGTTATCAGAGGACTCTCATTGTTCTCTGTGGCATGTATTGGAGTGCCTGTCCAGTTACCCTTGAAATGACATGGCAGATATTGGAGGGCCGTGCAAACAACATAGGAGATTTTCTTGAGGCACATATTGGCATGCGTTGGAGGGTCTAGTAGGGTAAGGGTTAAACAACATTACATTTACTGGACTTGGAGACATCACCAATAAAGAAGTCACTTTACTTACGTGCAGCGCTTCATCTGTTCCAAATGCTTTGGCATAGTACTCGCAAACAACTTTTTTCCTGTATGTAGAAATCAAAAGAAAAACTGAAGTGGAAATGTCTGAAAATCCCAATGTATGTCATATTGTTAGTTAGGCCAACAAGAACAAATACAGCAAATGGCCATCAAAACTTAAACTGCTTTCCTGTGCTGTTTTCGAGATCATCACAAAAAATAGATTCCTTTTCTAAATTGCTATTATTTTAAAGCAATACAAAAGTTATTCAGTTTTGAATGAGACGAGGCGGGGGGGGGGGGGGGGGGGGGGAGAATGTGGATTTTTGAAGGGGCATGACTACCCAGGCTCCCAAATTGATAAGCTAAAGTGGCGCTCCACAATATAACATTGAGAGCATTCGACAAGCTTGTAAACCGACCTTTCTTCTTTGGTAAGTGAGCTGTATTTCCTTGCTTTCTCTCCATTCATAAACCTGCAAAACGATACCAACACATAATTTTGTAACAACACCACTTTTGCTCGAAATTGCAAAACAAGATTTGGCGGTTCATTATTCCAATTTCCATGCTTTTTTGGAGTGGCGCCACATTTTTGCCCTTTGCTTTCCCTGCTTGGGGTAAAATATCATCAATACAGAAGAAAAAAAAAGCATGAAATGTCATGTCACGTTTCGAATAGCGAAGGCCCAAAAGGCTTGGAAAATAAGAATTTAAGCTTGGGTAATAACAAGTCTGCACTTTGTTCACCCTTGACATGCTTGAGTGATTTGCTAGGAACCTTCCTCACTCTTGCAAAATCCAACACAATATGGTAACTCAACATCCAAACTGCTGGACTCTGATTATGGTGGTATGGCATGACCCCATGTACCGCATAATCAGTTTACTAGTGGAGTTCTCACTCCACAAACCATGCAGTTGGATTTTAAAGGGTTGGGGTGCGCTAATTGGTCACAAAAAAGGAATAACACATAGGACAACAGATCAGAGGTGAGGCATCTAATGGAATTCCAGTCCGATATTGACCATGTTCCATATTAGTCAAAACAAATTTTTGAGTGGACTGCATGACTTGTCCATGCAGTTTGTGTGTCTTCACCCTCTGAAGAATGTTTATTGGATGTTTGGAATGGCGGATTAACAGTACATACCCCATGATAGCTGGGTGAGAGCCATCTGGTTTGCAGTCTTCATAAGTACCACTGATAGGACCATCACAGCTAAAAACAATTCCACTGTAATCTGTGAGGAAAACAACATTTATTGAGTTCTACACTCAACCAGACGGTTCTTTTTGAAACCACACTTCTTCCACAAAGAGATTATCAGCAATCTTTCTACTTTATCTCATCCTCCATGCAAAGCTTCAAGTCATATAAACCAGTGTTTTAGTACTCTTACTCGGTACTCGTACTCAAGGACTACTCAAGCACCAGGAGTACTCGTACTTGTACTCGTACTTGATGTTAAAGTACTCGTACTCGAAATGACGGTACTCGTACTCGGGCAGCAAAGTAATCGTACTCGACATGTCGCATTGGATTAACAAAGTACTAGCACTCGAATAGCAGTACTCTGGGGAAAATGGTATAGCTTGACTTACCATGGCCATTATTATTGATACTTTCAGTTTGAAATGGTTGATTGGCTTGTGGAGAATTGAATTTTCCTGATTTTCCTCTGTGCACGTCCGGACACACACATTTAACAGCTAGCCGTGAGTGGGTCTGTATATTGGTCTGACTGGGCCTGGGCCAATTATGCACAATAAACCATTTGCCTTATGGCCGTATTCAGAAATACAAGTCATACTCGTACTCGGAAGTACTCATACTCGTACTCGGAAGTACTCATACTCGTACTCAGAAGTACTCATACTCGTACTCGGAAGTACTCATACTCGTACTCGGAAGTACTCATACTCGTACTCTGAAGTACTCATACTCGTACTCGGAAGTACTCATACTTGTACTCGGAAGTACTCATACTGGTACTCGGAAGTACTCATACTCGTACTCAGAAATACTCGTACTCGGAAGTACTCATACTCGTACTCTGAAGTACTCATACTCGTACTCGGAAGTACTCATACTCGTACTCGGAAGTACTCATACTCGTACTCGGAAGTACTCATACTCGTACTCGGAAGTACTCATACTCGTACTCGGAAGTACTCATACTCGTACTCGGAAGTACTCATACTCGTACTCGGAAGTACTCATACTCGTACTCGGAAGTACTCATACTCGTACTCGGAAGTACTCATACTCGTACTCGGAAGTACTCATACTCGTACTCGGAGACATGTACTTGTACTTGGAGGAACAAGTACTCATACTCGTCAACCTAAGTACTCGGCAGTACTCGGTATTCAGAAAAAAAGTTCCTGACTACAACACTGATCTAAACATTTATTGGGTGCATGAGAACACTTTGAGGAAATCTGGGTCATGAGAATGTAAGGATTCCTTCTACAGGCAATACTAAAACTTGAGATAAAAACTGCTCACGTACCTAAGTCTTTCCAGAAGTTCCTCTTGTAAAATGTGAAAGTCTTGATGACTGAACCCATGGGCATGCACTGGATCAACTGTTGCATTGAAAGGGGAAAGATATTTTTAGAATAGTCAATGTTTAACAATTTCGATCTTTTTTCAAAATTATGGGTGGGTGGGTCAAAGGAATAACTGAAAATCGGTAATCAGTTTTGGATTAAAGTAAAAGAAAAAAATAATAAAAGAAGGGGGGGGGGGGGGAATACCCAGCAACCTCTTCGAGATCGTCTGTCAGTATTTCATGTCTGTGTTTTACCGTTGTCATTGGTCAAAACGTCTGGCCAGGCTTATTTCAAGATAGTCGTCACCCTTTTTTTTTTTTATATGGTCACCACTTGGACTCAGAAAATGACATAGCAGCTTTATATGGGCTAGATGCAACAGGCAAAGAGGCCAAAATGATGTCACTGTTTAAAATTTATCATTTTTTCAGGGTTTTTCTTTTCAAAAAAAAAAAAGGAGATGGTGGCCTCCAAAAAGGAAGCGGGCGAGGACGATAATGATGAATCAAATTATGATTATTAAAATTTATTTGGCCTTACACACCGTCAAACTAAAACAACATATTTAGGGTATTTTATGCAAACTGAATTTGTCTGCTCATTTTAACTCTTTCGCTACGGAATTTAATTTCCCAATTTTTTCACATTTGTAAGTCGCTGGAAATTCCGCTGTGTGTCAATGTGGACGCCGCCATCTTTGTAAACAACCTGCTCAAAATAACCTGCAGCAGACCCCGGCGAGACAGAGAGCCGTTGGCAGCGGCTCAAACTAGGGTCAGAGGTTATACGATATAAATTATAAATAAGGCACATGTCATGGGGATAATCCCTGTTTATTCACAGCGACGTCACCGAGCCGCTGCCAGCAGCTTGCCGTACGACTTGTACAATTTTTGTGTGCCACTGTCAGCGGCTCGCCGTAGCGAAAGAGTTAAGACAGCTATATATCTTACACATCAAAGAAACCACACTTGGCAATCAATACCCATCTCAAGGGAGTTTTACACACCTTTGATTTGCTTTTATCGTCAGCTTTGGCCCTAGCTGTATGAGGAATATCAAACACAGCAAATAGCGTATATACTGACAAACCTGGATTTTTGCTGATGGTAGACGAGGCTTGAAAGTTATCCTTCCAAGAAGCGTCATGGGAACTGCACTTATCATGTAGGAAGCCTGTATCAAAGATTAAACGTGATCTGGTAAATTCTCCTATGCATTAGAAACCTATTTCCATCTTGAAACCGTATAATAATTACATAATATTGGATGGCTTTGAGAGGAATACAAGAATATATTGCACGAGCTATAACAATATTGCACGAGTCGATAAAATTGTCATAGCGAGTGTATCATATTCTTGTATCACCCGACAAAAAAAGCCATCGAACATTATTTATTTTATGCTGACTAGCTTGATCCGCAAGAAATTAAGTTCAGAACACTGCCTATATTTCTCAAATTTTGTTGAATCATCGCTCCGCTCTAAGCTGACATTGTGGTTGTTGACTACAGTGCGCGTATACTCTACTGGAGCTGCATCGGCGTGCCACGCGCTACGCTGTTGACTGGTTGACTATGACTTCCTATGCTCTGGATCCTGTGCTGGGAACCGGCGAAAATGCCCGGATGACTGCCCTTCTTAGTGGAGTGCCGTGGCCTTGTGGTTAAGGGCATTGAATTCGTGGTCTGCGGGTAATTCTGCGGGTTGTGGGTTCGAGTCCAGCCAGGGGTTATGGTGCGTGTGCCCTTGGGCAAGGCACTTTGTCACTCATTGCTTCTCTCCACCCAGGAGTAAATGGGTACCTGTGAGGGCAGAGATGGTTATATGATTGATTTAGCTTGCTTGCGCCTAACAGGCAGCATCAAGCTGTATACTCCCCAGGGAGCTGAGATGGTATTTGGAATGTTTAAATTGGCCCAATGATCAGGGGTAATAATAATACTGTAAGCGCTGTGATTTAGTTTACTAAAAAGGGCGTTCTTAAATGCCGATTATTATTATAATTATTACTTTATTGACATAATAATCTCATCCGGGTACTTTTTACGACAGCATAAAATACACTGATTACTTTTTACCACTGGAAGCCTGATATTATTATTTAAATATTCAGGTTTAAAATGTTGAAGTAACCCTCCCCGGGGCTAAGGTGTGTGTTCCAAGTTGGAATAAAAAACAAATGAAATTATCATTTTTGGGTTAAAATGTTCTGAAATAATGTTGAGCCATTTCCCCAGCAATTAGTTTACTACCCGTACCTCAAATACGTCCCCATTTTGGGTTGTTACTTTCACTCCGTCATCAGACTGCTCGACGCTTGACACCACATGGTTCAACAGCACATGTCCTGCAAGTCAGTCAAAAATGCCATGACTCCTACATTAGCCTATATAAAACTACACACCAGGGGCCCAATTTCATAGAGCCGCTTAAGCAGAAAATTTGCTTAAGCACGAAAAAACATTGCTTAGTAAAATTAGGTTACCGGCCAAAACCGGCCGGTAACCTGATTTTATTAAGCAAGACGTTTTTGTGCTTAAGCAAATTTTGTGCTTAAGCAGCTCTATGAAATTGGCCCCAGGTTATTAGCCCTTTATGTACTTCATTATATTACATTGTATTACATTGTATCTATTCCCTGATGTGGAATCCATAAGACCATACCATACTGGGGCAGTTTGGGGTGGTACATGAAGAAACAGGCAGGACCATTTAGGAAAGTTTGAGGAGGTTGTGTTAATTAGCTACATGTAACAAGTTGTCTTCGGCAAAGTGTGTTGAAAAGGTGCAGCATTTCAAAACTTGCCCATTCCTGTTCCTTTTGGAACCGGATCAATGTGGTGCTTTGGGAATAAACAAAATTGGATGAAGTCTGTATCATTTTGTTCAGCTAGGTAATATTCCCTACGAAACCTTCCGAGAATTCAAAGTTATCAGGCATTCCCTAAGACCACTTACCCTTTCCAAGTTTCCCCGCCAGTCCCTCGCTGATCTGCATGGCACCGCCAACAAATTTTCTTTCCTGAATTACAAAGAAAACCAGAAAAGCTTACACAATACGAAGAGTAGGGTTGTCCGGGTGAATTGGAATTGAAAGTGTCAGTTTAGGAAACTGTTTGTGCTCAGTGACTCAGTCAGTCAGACAAGGGTAGACTTCGGGCTGCCAGTGCCACGTTCTCTTGGAACAGGTGCCTGGGTGATATGGTCCCAGCTGGAGGAGAGAGTGGAGGTATGCGGTGAAACGTATGAGATGGTGGAGTTTTTCTGCTACCTGGGTGATATGCTGGGTGTCGGGGGGGGGGGGGGGGGGGGGGAGAGAAGTTCAGGGAGCTGGCCCCATTTTTAACTTCTAAGGCTACGCCCCTGAAGATGAAGGGTCAAGTATACACTGCCTGTGTCCGGAGCTGCATGCTGTGTGGCTGCGAGACGTGGCCCACTAGGATGGGACACATCCAGCAGTTGGAACGAGCAGAGATGAGAATGATCAGGTGGATGTGTGGGGTGTCTCTGGTGGACGGGCTGTCAAGTGAGGAGTTGAGGAGGAGAGTTGGAGTGGAGGGGATCGGTATCGTGTTGAGGAGGCATAGGCTGAGGTGGTATGGTCACGTGGGGAGAAAGGACGATGCCAGCTGGGTCAAGAGGTGTACCAACATAGTCGTGGGAGGGCCCACACCTGTCGGCCGTCCGTGCAAGACGTGGCAGAGTTCCGTTACAGATGACATGCATCTGCTTAGAGTCAATGCCAGGGACGCGACGGACAGGGCCAAGTAGAGAGGAGCCATAGGGAGAAAGCAGGCCAACGCAGAACAGTCTGGACAACGGCCTCAATAAATCAGTCACCAGTCTGACATTCAGTCAGTCCGTGCCTCAGTAAGTCAGTCAGATTAGCCCCATATAGTGGCCTGTCAAATCCAGATTTGAACTTCTCAAAAAGCATTGACCACCACTAAAGGGAAGATACAACATTTGCAAACATCACAAAATGAAATGATCCAATTTTCACAAAATACCTTGCTGGACTGTTAGGGAATGACAGTCTAAAGCATCCTGTAAAATCACGGCTCCTGGTGTGCTGACATTTTCAAGAAAAATGGTATTTTCCCAACGCTGGTCGGCCGACCAAAGTTGGAGAAAACTGGCTTTTTTTCTTCAAAAAGTGTTCATAATTTTTCATATTGAGTTATTCCGCATTTTCTTTGCAATCGATTACAAAGCTGTGAATGGGACCAAGCCTGCTAGACTGATTCTCTGACCTTACAAATTATACAATTCCTCAAAGTCTATTATTCGCTCCGTTTCATCTTAAGTGGGGTCAGGGGGAACCAGACTACAATAGCATGATTGTTTGTATTTTTGTTCTTCCAGCATTTTCATGCCCAAAACGTGAAACAAGTCATTTTCACAATATTTTCTATAACATACTAATCCTCCAAATCCATTAATTTCTGAAAATTGCAGCAAAAGCAAATGTTGCACCTTCCCTTTAAGTTAGGAATAATGCATAAAGGGAGTTCAAAAATTTTAGATTAAATACCATTACTTACCTGGGCACCGTTTGTTATGCTCATAGTCCTCGTCAATCCTGAAGGCAAAAAAAAGAATAGAAATTACTTACTGATGAGCTGTGAACACTGTGGGATCAGTAATAAAAATTATGCAGGTCCTGAGATCCCCGAAAATTTCATGTTTAGGATTGCTTACTTATCCTATTTCAAACATCTAGTTGAAAGGAAACCAACCTTATGTCTTGCCGTTCCTGAGAAAAGACAAAAAAACTCTGGTTGTTTACATCGGACACGACGGAGTATGAATATGTTTTTCCTGTTGTTCCCTGTTTGTACCATGAATTCTACCTCCATGGATATACACGTTTATCTAGGGAACAGTGGTGACCGCGATCACCAATGCACAAAATATTTTTCTTCGACGTTCGCATAAGGAGAACACTTTACGAATGAAATCACAACTAGCACCCAAACAGCTCGACTTTTTGAAGTCGCAAATGAGGACCCCGAAATTCGTTCTTGCATACATAATACAGCAATAACACAATTGGGCTGTTCCAGGATCCAGTGTCCCTTCAAAGGGAATGTACAACAATTGTTAGGGATTGTTAGGTCAGAGAATACAGTCTGGAAGGCTTGTACCACATCACAGGCGTGTGAACATTGCAAAGAAGATGCGGAAGAACTAATTATGAAAAATTACGAGCAGTTGTTGAAAAAAGATTGTTCAACCAGCGTTGGAAAAATACCATTTTCTTGAAAATGCCAGCATACCAGGAGCCATGATTTTAGAGGATGCTTTAGACTGTCATTCCCTAACAATCCAGTAAGGTATTTCGTGATAATTTGATCATTTGGTGTGTTTTTTTTTATGTTCACAAATGTTGCATCTTCCCTTTAAAGAAAAAAAAAAGAACTACCAGCTTATAATTACCGCCGCCAACTGTGATGCCCCAGAGGAAGAACAAAAAGGACAGGTTGCAAGGCTCGGAAGCGTTTGATGCCCTACAGATGATGGTGATGGCTTCCTTGGTGTATTGACACCAGCAGGTGGCATCGAGCCAGGACTGAACAGTCATACTGTCCCACTCCGAGGCCCGCGGAGCGTCCCACGGTGCCGCTACTGGGATCTGTTGGAACGAGTCGGGTTTTGTTCTTTTACTTTGAGTAGATTCGTTGGAGTCGAATCATTCATGGGCATATTAGTTGACAATGGTTGAGTGAAGTCATTTAAAGGCAGTGACTCCAGTGTAGTTGAGTCATAATTCTAAGAACCTCCAACACAATAATGCTGGGCTCACACATTCCCAATTTTTAAAGCCGGATCGCCACAAGTGACAATTCTTGAGTAAATCGAGGATGGTTCTTGGCTGCCTTGGGATGATTCTGTTAGTTTGGTGAAAGATCGTGAAAGATCGGGAAGTGCTCCGACAACACAATAACAATTTTGCAAACTGAAACTAAATGACTCCAAAATTAATCAGCCACATCCTTTGAAATTAATGGAATACCATTTACCTCTTTGGCGTAGGCATCTATAAGTCTCACAGCATTGTTGAGATCCATTAAGTCAAAGATTCCAAGCGACTTGGGGACAGAATTCTTCATATCAAAGGCCTCCGCCTTGCCCTGAAAAAAATTTGATGCGAACATAAAGACTTAAAGATAGGTGTATCGTGTAGAGTAGACTGACAGTGTATGTTGTTACGGCATGATTTAGATTTGGTTACCTCCTATGCTTACGATATACTTAGTCCTTGAATAAAGCAGTGCTCATTTTGCATGTATTTTGCTCATGAGTACTACTTGTTAATTTAATAGACCTTAGCCTCTAACGTTGCATAGAGGGCAGTGTTTGATAAGCACGAGTAGACGCATTGTACATTCACTGGGTGCATTCCATTTCTTGGAATGAACAAGGAGTGTGTGTGACGTATTTCCACCAATGACTCTGCTGTACAAGGAAGGTCCGTGGTGGCTGACCCGGGTGAGGCCCAAGAATGATGTCAGAGCTAATCCAACAGCACGGGGCTGACCCGTGCCAACCAGTGTGAGCTAAACGAAGGCACCCATTGTCACTGAATTTAAGTAACAAAAACTGCCCTCAGCAAGGGCACACCAGGCAACGGGTCTATGACTAAGAACAAATGTGTGTTGATATTTGTGATTTAGCAGCCAACATGTAATGCGATGCATAACCCTTGTGAACAGTTCTCAGATGTTCCTTTTTTTGCAATTTGTTAGGCACTACAGTAAACTCCGGCTAAACCGGCACTCTCGGGACCCGAGAATTTGTGACGACTTACGCAAATGCCGATATCTGCTGTGAGTTGACATTTTGCCGACTTACATGAATGGTCTTTTGCACACATGATTCATTGCACTAATTGGCTTCGATTTACCCTGGATTATCTCCTTGATGCTTGAGTTGAATCCAGCAAATTAATCCTCGAATTGAATCATCACGTTTGGGGTATTGATAGTGGAGACCACGATACGTATATGTACGTGCACAGTGACGAATTAAATGCGTGCATGGTCTGGTAGAATGTCGGACACTTCGCCCCATTTCCACTTCGCCCCTAACCACTTCGCCCCTAACCACTTCGCCCCATCCCCACTTCGCCCCATCTCCACTTCGCCCCATCCCCACTCCGTCCCATTCCCCTTCGCCCCATCCCCATTTCGCCCCATCCCCACCTCGCCCCAGCCGTTACATGTAAAAAAAAAAATTCATCTATTTAATTGGCAAAAACAATCCCAAAAGATTCACTAATTGCTGCAGCGAAAATCATTGACTAATATCTGCTTGGTGTCAGTCGAATGAGCTTTTTTTTTAAGCTCCGATTTTCAAAAAAAAAAAAAACCTTTTATTAAACGGAAATGCAAACTGCATTTTAATTCCAAAATGTGAAAAACTTTGCCTGCACAAATTTCCCAAAAGCGGCAGCATTCTTGAGCAACTAGTTTTCTGCATGCTGCGAGAAAAATAATCACATACAAGATTTCTGGCTACGCAACCGGCAGCTCCCATCCAGGCATCACAAGGGAGTCTCCTTGCAACAGTATTTCTAGGCAACCAGGTTGGAATGTGATAATGGACACACAGCCATGCAGCATGCACCTGTGGCTCAGATAGTTCGGAATTCCAACATTATAACGTCATATTCATGAAAGCAGACGGTCCGTGATGAAACCAACCGATGGCGTATTTATTTGCCGGGAACTGACTCATTTCATTGGCTGAGATACTATCATCACTGTTTATCATCTAAGAATGTTCAAATTACTGGCGGCAGGTCTTCATCAAAGGTGGTCTACAGCTGAACCCGAATGTATATATTTTGCAACGAACATGAGTGGCATTGTATCAATTTGAACAATGCCGCTGTCAATCATTCTCCGGAAAGGCTTTTTCCGAGCTGGATTTTATTCGGGCATTTTTTTTTATTCAAAGACCGGGGGAAAGTTTATAACGAAAAGTGAGGGAAACTGAAATAAACATGGAATTTCACCCCTGTAAAGGGCCTGTATCATGTTAATGTACATCAAAATTGAACAGAAATCAAAGATGATGAAATGAGCAAAAAGTTGATGTGTGTACGTGTCTTGGTCCCTGTGTCTCGAACACCTCATCAGAGAGTTTGTATTTTTCCTGATTTTCTAGAATTGGGAGCATTTATTATCAGGGTCTTTTTCTGTTTTAATATTTACTGATCTGCACCCCCAGCCTTCACCTTTGTACATGGGGCGAAGTGGATATGGGGCGAAGCGGGGATGGGGCGAAATGGGGATGGGGCGAAGCGGGGATGGGGCGAAGGGGGGATGGGGCGAAGGGGGGATGGGGCGAAGGGGGGATGGGGCGAAGTGGTTACGGGCAAAGTGACATGGGGCGAAGTGGAAATGGGGCGAAGCGATATACCACGCACACATTGACTGCAGCAGTAGTCATTCAATAAGACGACCCCAGAAATGGACAGAGCGCATGCGTACAGCCTAGAGGGGGCACTGGTATTGATATGCTCACCATGCATATATACAATGTTTGCAGTAGGACACCCTTTTTCGACACCGATGCATGCAGCGAAACCCCTTTTCACTCGACACTTTGCCAACCGCAGTACAGGAAGTCGATGCCAATGCGTGATTAACTGAATGCCGACTTACACAAAGGATTTTGTAATGCTTTTTATGGAGAGGGGACCGAGAGTAGCACAGCAACTTGAGCAAAATGGCGACTTATAAAAGCCGACTTAGAAATAAAAAATTAAATGGAAATGCATTATGAACAATCGGGACTTTAGTCAGACGGCCAACTTGAGCAATTTGACAAGTTGTATGATGTCAGTTTAGACGGAGTTTACTGTATTTACATCTGAACAGATGGATTGTTAATTGGTCCCTGCTTACATTTCTGAAGCTGATGGTTCTCCGAGCCTCGTTAACCATCTGATACTGGATTCCTAGCTCCTTGGCAACTCGGATGATCCTGTTTTGACCTGGTCCAACGTAAGTTCCGCCAACATCCAAATACTGGAAGGCGGGGTCCTATGTAAAAATGACCGACACAAACATCCAACATTGACCATTATTAGCATGGTACAAACATTTACTGGCCGAAGTGAGGAAGTATTAATTGAAGTATGATTGTATCTCTGTTGAATCCATAAAATATTTGGGTGGTTTGTGGCAGTACAGGGAGTAACAGGCAGGCAATTTGGACTGGAATAGAGACTAATGGATTAACTAGCAGCACAGTTAAGACTTACCTTCAGTGTATAGGTGCGACCTCCGACCCTGTTTCTAGCCTCCAACACCAGCACATTTTGGCCTTGGTCTTGAAGGAGTCTAGCAGCTGACAGCCCTTTTAACAGATAATCATGCACATTTAAGAACGCATGCACATAGATAACACTTTCAGTGAGTCATCATTATATTAAGTATAAATACATAACTTTGTTGCTCAATTATTTTGTAAATAATCTCAGAAATAAGCAGCACGTTTCATTTTCAATTATCAAATGCTGCATTTTTTTTTAAGTCCCTTTCTTCTACAAAATAAAAATGACTAAATTGATAATTTCTTAAAAGTTAAAGTTCGGAACAGTGTGAGAGTCAGTTCCCAATCTAGAATACAACTTTATACAATTTTGGAAAGAATGTAGTATCCTGATGACGCCACTTCTTTGGTTGTGTCAAAGTCTATGGACATGATGGAGGGTCGAGTGAAGATTCATCATGTCTTTTCAACATTTTGCAATGACTGGCCTTCATTGAGATATTATTATTAATATTATTAAACAAAACGAACCAGGTAGAGTGGGAAAAGTGCAAGCACTACAGCAACCCCCACACACCTGAAGCATCGGCAAAGAAAACAAAAACCACAGAGAGACAACTATCAAGATAAAGATAAAGAAAACAAGATAATATATGTTGAAAAAAAGTGGCGTCAGGATATAACATTCATTCCAAAATTTCAATCAAAATGTAAACCTGTTTACTTTGCTGTTTACTCACCACTTATCCCAGCTCCGATGACAATAACATCTCTCTTCTCTTTCGACATCGCTTGAAGTAATCCAAGACTTGATGAACACGTAGCTTAACTGACGCGCTAAATCACTGAAACAAAATATCAGAAATGAGCAACAAAATGTTATCGATGAAATAAAAGCTAGCTAGGCTGCATCAATAACAAATTTGAGATGTGCCAACAGCGAATAGTAAAGAAGGTATTCCTTCGAAGCCTCTGCGTGGGTTAAACCTTTAACTACGATACAAAATAAAATGAGCGACTCTAATTTTCATTCAATCTCTGATGACAGCTGATCGAGCTGTTCAGCTCTAGTATTTATGAAAATCTGGTGAAAAGTTCAGAGTTTTTAAATGAGGTGATACAAGATTTTGTGATGAAAAGACGCTACATATCACTATGATTGCAGTCAACAGATGAAACGTGATATCATATTTGCACATCGGGGTCAAGCGTTTTATTATTTTTTTAACATCAGTTAAGATAAATAGCTCCAAAGTCTGACAGGCTAACCTAAGAGTATTTCTCACGTCTGTTAGTTTGTTATTATGTCTACAATAATAACCACAATTTGAATCTATTGATTTATTCACATTTTGTAAAACATGAAATTTACTTCCTAGCTCCACATAAAAAAAATCGCAGTGATACCCCGTGCTCGTCAAAAAAAGGAATTTTTTTCTCCTAACTTCACAAATTTTCAATTTGTATGTTTTGGTTTAACAGGGAAAAAAAACATTTTATTCTGATTTGGGCATCTACAAAAGGGCTTTCATTTTATTTTCAATAACCCGCCCTGCCCGAGCCGAGTTATTGTCTGGCAGCTACTATTTATTAATTTTTTGGAAGAAATAATTCTAAAACTAAATTTGGTGGATTTTTTTTTTCAATGTCTCATTCAAAAGTGAATAAGTTTTATAATAATAATAATAATAATAATAAATAGAGAACATTTATATAGCACCAAAATCCGTCTAAACAAGACGCTCAAGGAAAATAGCAATTGAAAAAAAATGATCTATTCTCTTAGGTGAAACTCAAAAATAGCACAGCAAATCATCTTGGGCAAACATTAAAATCAGGGTTGGCTAATTTAAAATCAAGTTGATTTAAATCGCTGATTTAAATCACTTTTTGTAAAAATCTCTTTTTTTGGCAAATTAAATTGATTGAGGGGCATTTTAATTATTAAAATCGACTGATTCCACTTAATTACAAACTGTGAGATGTTACTAACACACATTCAAACGCCCCTACTTCATCAGCATCGACACAACTGACATGTAGTAGGTTTTGCATAATACCGAAAATCATTATTTTGATTAAAGTCAAGATCTGAGTTAAAAGTTTTTCTTCGAAGTTTGAATTTTAAAGACAGCTTTAAACACTCACTTTTGCTTTAATCATCTCTTGATCTGTTTTACAGTAATATTGTGAATCAACTGCATGAACTGTTCTGACTTAGGCTTATACCTGAACCATCTAAACTAAGGTGTATTAAAGTCCTACTTGACAGCCTTATTCCTATTATAAGATGGGATTTTGCGTCGGGGTGATATAAATCAAATTAGGTTTTAATTGCCCTTCACCGACATTTAAACACTGTATACTCAGTGTGTTACCTCCCAAGTGAAAGTTGGAAAAATCACTCGGTTGGGACTCGAACCCACAACCTCCTGCTTTCTAGTGCAGATGTCTTACCACTCGACCACCGAGCTTACGGTTGGCTGGTTCGAATCTGATGTATATAGCAGCGGGTACCGCATAAACTATAATAATAACGATAGTTTATGCGGTACCCGCTGCTATATATACATCAGATTCTAACCAGCCAACCGATCCCGTAAGCTCGGTGGTCGAGTGGTAATACATCTGCACTAGAAAGCAGGAGGTTGTGGGTTCGAGTCCCACCTGAGTGATTTTTCCAACTTTCACTTGGGAGGTAACACACTGAGTATACAGTGTTTGAACGTCAGTGAAGGGCAAAACCTAATTTGAGCCTTATTCCTAACACTCATTTCTCCATAAAAAAATTAGATTGAGATTTATATACCTAGACAAAGGTGCAAGGCCTGATTTTTGTTCTCCACGTACGAAGAACCATCAATCCAACACCATAAGTTACACAAGGATTAGTGCTGTCGCCTGTGAAATTAGAAATAAAAATGCCCACTATACTCCTAATTTTTCGGTATACCATGTACACGTACGGTACAGTATGTTTTTCATTCATGTCCATGCACAACATACATGTATCTCATGCACTTTGAAAGAGTTATGAAATCAAGTGATTTGTTTTTAATCACTGATTCAATGCAAATTTATTTTCAAAAGCATTTATCAATTTATTGAGTTTTGTGGATGATGGATATAGGCCTACTTAAAAACCTGTCTGCCTGTTAACTCCTTAAGTGATGGGTAAGGGTGCATGGGGAGATCTAGACACATCTTTAAATTAGACATATCAATATTTTGAAATTTGAGAAAACTCAGATTAAAATAAAAAGTAAACAAAAGACTTAAATCAAATAAATCAGGTTTTATATTTTAGATTAAAAAATGCCAACCCTGACTAAAATGACAGAACTCAATATCACTCAGAAGAGATCAGAAGGGGAAAGCCAACCAAAACGTTAGACTCTTAAATAATCGTGAGGAAAAGAATTTTGCATCCTGACGCCACTTTATCTTCATTACGTCCCTCCGTCATGTCCGTAACGTAGGGAGGATAGGGAGTCCATCTGGCCTGGGCTTCTGCTACAGACCCGTGAACGTGGCGTTGTATTAGTCCGAGCATGGAGGAATAAGTCAGCCAGAGTTGTTTTTAGCAGCACCTTATGTTTAAGCTGATCACCTGCACTCACCTTGCATGCACACAACAACCGCAGTACGTAATACACCAGATGGTGGACTGTACTTCACCAGAAGAGAGGGGGAGAGAGAGAGTTGGGTCCAACTTACTTTGACTAGCGTTGTATCGGGTCGGTGACTGCTCTATGTTCCGACACCCCTATGTTCCGACAACCTAGATTGTGTTACTCCCGGTTAGGGTTAGGGCGCGGAGCCTCATAGTTCTAGGAGTAGGTTAGGGTTAGGAATAGGAATATGTGCAGTCGGAACATAGGGGTGTCGGAACATAGATTAGAGGTGTAACCCTCGGGTCTACTTGCTGCAACAAGTTAGCATGTACACAAATCAACCCTTATGCGCAAGAAATTGGTCTCAGTGGTTTTTATTCCTCCTTGGCTTGAGTAACTCTAGCCCCATAAATGTGGCCTATTTACTGGACTGCCTCCGTAAACATAGGCCACACATCCACATGTACAAAAACGTGTCGACTTTGCCAAATTTTGATTTTCACATTTAGGCTTAGTTTGTAGGATTGTTTTGCTTTAGAAGCATACTCACCCTCTTTATAGGCTAGTCAGAAAGTGCTGCCTTTTTCAGATGTCTAATTTTTGTGAAATTTCATGTTGAAATTTTGATACGCAAACGTGTAAAAATGAATCTGGAAAATTCACGAAAAATATACATCTGAAAAAGGCAGCATTTTCTGACTAGCCTATAAAGAGGGTGAGTATGCTTCTAAGGCAAAAATAAACTACAAACTAAGCCTAAATGCGAAAATCAAAATTTGGCAAAGTCGACACGTTTTTTGTACATGTGGATGTGTGGCCTATGTTTACGGAGGCAGTCCAGTAAATAGGCCACATTTATCATGGGCTAGAGTAACTCCAGCTCCAATGCTTACTAAAGCAGTCCTTCATTTTTAAGGAGCGCGATCGCGCAGGCGCTCCTACTGCGCTCCTCGACTGTCTCGAAGGAGCGCCAAAAATAGCGCTCCTCAAAAATCCAAAAGAGGGCTCGTCAAACACGGGAAGTTTAAAAATAAGAAGTGATAAAAACGCAAGGGATTTTAAGTCTTAAGCTACACGTATTTTTCGTTGGTATAATGCCCAAACTCACGATAATATGCCGCTGGACATCGCTAAAAATGAACGAACACCGAGCTCGTACGTACTGTATAAGATCGTTTGTGTACAATCCGTGTGTCGCATAGAGCTGCATGAAAACACGTGGGCCCGTACGTGCTAGTGCAGCAATGACTGGTTCCCGCTGTGCCGCGCACTAAGTCCCAATGAAGGCATGATGAAAATGCGGTAACCAGTCAATGTAATAGTCGCGCGCGGTGCATGCAATGCACTGCCTGCCGTACAGTGTTTTGCGTGCAGGCCGGACGGAATAGGCATCGTCAAAATGCCAAGAAAACAACGATTGAGAAGGACGATCTTTGCAAGCTTATTCACAAAACTTGATCTCTCTTGTCTGTGTATTTCCCGTGTTCATGAATTTATTTTGAGGAAGTTTTACTGGTATGTGAAGTGAAACGATGCAGCGTGTTTCACCGAAATCCTATACCGTGAAACGAGTCTCATTGCCGGCCCACCACACACAGTGTATCACAAACGCTCGTACTAGTGCGAAGTACAGACGTTGTTAGCCAGTTTCTCGTCGTGACTAGCATTGTGTATATGGCATACTTGACCTGCATTTTCCATTATTTTTAAGATTATCGACGGCAGATATTTTCGATAAAACTTAAGGCAAGTTTGTGTCATTTTGAGGCCCTTTTTGTATAGCTTTCGTAGAGCAATTGAAATAGTTCAGGCTGAAAATTTCATATAATTTTAACGAATCTGAAAGCAAATTTTCAGTTGCTTTATGTGCCGTTTAACTCTCCATTTTCCAAGTATAATCAAGTGATGAACCAACTGACAACTAAAAATGAAAGCCTAAGCAGTAGTCAAACCTTTTATTAATCTCCATTTAGTTAGTTTTTTAAAATAAATTTTTCCTTGTCTTACAGTTACAAAAACGAAAAAAAGTAACGCAACTTGAGCATATGTTATTATGCAAAGACTAATAATAATGCAGCCCCTTATAAATCGTTATATTCAAAATAAAACAAAAACAATGGTAACCCGTCGTTTTACCGCTGTTTATCCGTAGATTTTAAGGAGAGCGATTTGCTCTCCTCAAATATTTGAGGAGAGCGATTTATAGCTCTCCTGGATTTTCTTTAAATGAAGGACTGCTAAAGCTAGGTCAAGGTCAAAGATGAACAACCCAAATTGACAAACGGTCCTAGGGATACGTACCGGGAACAGACGGGTGGTCAAAATCGCCGCGTCATGCTGATCGATACTAACCCAGGCCTAGCCGACCTTACCCGTACCGCGCCGTACCACTAACAACAAGTTAGCCCTTCGTCGTCTTGCACTGGCATCTGGGGGTCCGGTTCATGGTGACCGTTTTAGCCGATTTTCGGCTATTTTTGACAGATTTTTTGTTAAAAAACAAGTTTGACAGAAAATTTGACAGAATGGATTTTTTGGGCAGATATCTGGCATAATTCTGCATAAATGGTTATTTGACAGAAAAACATAACAAATTTGAAAGAAATGGTGCACTTTGTTTAAAAACCGTCAATCTTTTCAGGTTGGCTGGTCTAGGTGCTGAGGCTCAACACTGGGAAACAGACTTAAATTTGTCGTGACATGACGCAACCGCGTTTTGCCTAAAATTTACGCAATTTCGTAACATCTTTATGTGACTTTAGATTGTTTATAATGTGATTTGAGCCTTAATTAAGGCAATACTACAACATCTGTATGTGATTTTAAGTGTTTATTGTGTATTTCGAGTAATTATGGGGAATCTGGCAGATTTTTGATAAATCTGACAGATTTTTGAAGTGCACATAGCAGAATTTGGGCATGACCTTCATGACCTTACGGTCACCCAGGTCCGGTAAATCATTGGACATGTCAGACCGTAGACGCGAGTCGCAAGTTGTAGAACGTAAGTTCCAGAGTAAGATTCATTTGATATTTCACCTGAGTGACATTGACACTGGATATGTGAGAACATTATATTCTTCAGTAAGAAAATGTATTGAATTTGAAGCCATGCAGAAAATGGCATTCTTGGCAACAGGTCGAAAACGTAGGGAGGAAAGGGAGTCGTAAGGCCAAAAAAAAAAAGTCTCCGGTTAATTCTGGTATGCGCGCGCGTCGCCGTAGCCATGCGCGTCGGCAAAATGAAAAAGTTTTTTTTTTTCAATACAAGATGATGTTTCAAAACCGCCAAACTCACTGGTTTGACTGGAATTCTGCTGCTGCACAATTTTAACGTGTTTTTAGATGGGGTTATGATCGAGAATAAGCTTTATGTGGCCTCTCTGGACTCCCATATATTTGCACTAAGTTTAGTCGGGCACCATTTGCAGTCATCAGCCGACATTTGAAGCCAAAAAAAAAAAAAAAACAGGTAAAAAAAAAAAAAAAGCCGCGTCGCCGCACCACTTTTGGGGCAAGCTCCATACCAGAAACCGGAGACTTTTTTTTTTTGGCCTAATGCAATGAAGACTATTCTACCTCCATGGTTAGTCCAACCTGGGCTAGCACATGTAGTATTATACAAATAACGAATGTTTGTGAGTGCGATGGTAAGAATAATTTCATGAGGTGACAGATTGAATGTTCTATTCCACGAGGCAAAGCCGAGTGGAATAGAACATTCAATCTGTCACCGAATGAAATTATTCTTTCCATCGCACGAACGTAAAACATTCGTTATTTGTTTTATACAACACCTGAATAAATTCTCGTCATTTGATTGGTAAATTATAAACTACAATTTATTTTGATTTTAAAGATGTTGAACTACCCCTTTACGAAAATGTTTGAACCCAACGCTGTAGCGCTGGCTCTTAGGAACAATACGCGCTATGCTGAACGCGCACACCAGCATGCATTTTGCACGCAAATACCGCGTCATGGAACAAGCGCAAAGTGAAACGGTATAACGCATGGGTATAACGCATGGTCGCACCGTGCATTATACCGAATAATAATATGTCACGTGATCTACAATTCACCAATCAGATGACGGGGATTTATTCAGGTGTTGTATAAATTATAATAATAATTATAAAACCCTGCTGTTCATCCTGCATGCTAGGGCCTAGCCTAAAAACGGAGTAATTGCAGAATACCCCGCCACTCGGAAATGACCCTTTTGAAATGAATGGATACGCTGTCAGAGAACAGTTTCAAAATTTTGAAGAGAAGAATTCTGCGTACATTTATATGAAAGTGTGTCAGGAAAATGCCTTTATTTGTGTGTTTCAACAGTCTGTTCAGTAAAGAAAGTATTTTTGAGAACGAGGTATCCATATCCGTATGGGTTTACTTGCAAGATAACGTAGGCCTCCACGGTCAATGCGGCACCGAAGATGTTCCTGGGAAGTGAAATTCCCCCCCCCCCCCCCAAATAAAGTTATATGTCGCCACAAATTGATTGCTTACTTTCTATCAAATTCATTCAAAGGATCCTTTTTCTATCAAAATCATTCAAAAGACTGTAGTGAAATCCCCCCCCAAATAAAGTTATATGTCGCCACAAATTGATTGCTTACTTTCTATCAAATTCATTCAAAGGATCCTTTTTCTATCAAAATCATTCAAAAGACTGAAGTGAAAACCCCCCCAAATAAAGTTATATGTCGCCACAAATTGATTGCTTACTTTCTATCAAATTCATTCAAAGGATCCACTATCAAAATCATTCAAAAGACTGAAGTGAACCCCCCCCCCCCAAATAAAGTTATATGTCGCCACAAATCGATTGCTTACTTTCTATCAAATTCTTTCAAAGGATCCTTTTTCTATCAAAATCATTCAAGACACGAAAATTCAATACAGTAGGGAAGTAGGGAAAGTGTGGAAAAATGTATACAATGAACTTGATTGTTGTCTATCTAAATCCAAAACTAAATCAAAAACTTGATTATTTTATTTAATAACAAAATCCTTCAATGGACAAAAATGTTTCAAAGTTGAAGATGAATGAAGATGAAGCGCCTTCTTGTGATTTTGCCTGTAAATGTTACGATCATAGAGCTTTACAAAGCGCCCTCTAATGATATCATGTATGTACTGCATGCACATTGTATACATGTAATATACTGTGTACGTGTACGCGTACGTACGTATGTACACACACGAGTGGTTGACCATCCAAGCGTGACTCCGTATCCGCGTATCCGGATACGCGGTGGGATAGGTGAGTGGCGGGGTATTCTGCAATTGTAGGGCACAATTGCAGAATACCCCGCCAACCCAATGATAAAATTTAGGGATGGGTAACTCCAGCTACTGTATTGCTAAATTGCCCTTCATGCTCAGTCATATTCAAGCTTATGTGAATCATTATTCATGCTATTAAACAACACAGTCTCACTCTCACTCAGTCAAAAAATCAATCCTCTTTCCCTGCTAATTATAATGACTGTGTGTATGCTATTTTTTAGGAAAGAATGTTGCAACCTGACGTCACTTCAGCGGTTGTGTACAAAGTCTATGGAGAGTCAAGAAAATTCTCTAAGTGTTTTCTAACAAAATTGTACACTATTGCAGAATACCCCGCCACTCGATCTATGCACTTCGTATGGTCGGTGACTGCTCTATGTTCCGACACCCCTATGTTCCGACAACCTAGATTGTGTTACTCCCGGTTAGGGTTATAGGGTTAGGGTTAGGAATAGGAATATGTGCAGTCGGAACATAGGGGTGTCGGAACATAGAGGTGTAACCGTATAGTCGGCTACGGAGTCACAGTTGACTGCCCTCAATAAACCCTCTCAGCGCTACATGCATGCGTCATGCTCCGCTGCACTCCCATTCCGTATCCGTGTAGCCGGCAACAGGGTTGTTGGTTTGGACTTAAAAAAATTTCGGCAACTCCCATTCATTTTGTGTTGTTCAAGGGAACCCACTCAGTATCCGCGTAGCTAGTCCGAGTAAACTAGGACTCTACAGATCGCATTTTTTAACATTTGAACTTGGTCGGGTGATAGTATCGCCCGACCAAGTCCAAACGTTAAATATTTTTTTACTTCTGCAGGCCCAGAAGCATCTGCCTGCATTTGTAGTTACTAGTTAGTGATTAGCTGTAAAAGCAGATGTTTTTGTCATTTTTGCCTGGTTTACTGGTAAGTCTTCACCTTCCACATTTTGTTTGGCAGCTGGTTAATGTTCGTGCATCAAAATATATGATCCAAGTGAAGGTACGTCACTTTTAAGATGCGCGCGTTGCAATATTTAAATTAAAGGTGAGTGTGTAGAAGTTAAGGGCCCATTCCATGCCATATCCCTTAAATCTAGGTCTTAAGTCCACTAAGAATGAAATTGGAACATAGCTGATCATTTTAGCTAGTCTGGGCAACGTCAATTGTTGCTATGTGTGAGCACTTGGACTTTGGAGTTTAATATCAAAGCTGAGATTATCAGAAAACAAAACCACTGTGTAAATATGGTCTGTTCATATTCAAAACACTGTCTGGTTCCAGTGATTAGTGCACAGTGTACACGTACCTGTACGTACCATCCCTGAAAACCTCCAAGATTAAATTGGTTCTCATTTAGTCCCACTAACTGGGGCACTAAAACTCTTTTTTTTGACATTTGGGATGTTGGTTTGTCGTACTAACTGGGGCCCTACAACTCCTTTTTTGACATTTGGGATGTTGGTCTGTAGTACTAGCTAGAACGACAGACCAACATCCCAAATGTCAAAAAAGGAGTTCTAGCGCCCCAGTTAGAGGAATTAGTTCTCATTAGTGTTGAAGAGCTCTCTTGAAACCTGTAGTCCGAAAACCTACATGTAATTAAGTATGCTATTACTGGTCATATTGTTATCAAGGATTGTACAATTTACAAAGAGCATGCATTTTCTAAAGGTCAAAAGATGACTGTATTGGAAGCAGTCATATTTTTTAAGGAAAGGATATATCGGCTTCAGGATTTTCTCTGTGTTTTGATGAGGCTGACCTTTTCTACAATGTAGGTTTTCAGACTACAGGTTTCAAGAGAGCTCGTCAACACTAATGAGAACTAGTTCCACTAACTGGGGCGAAATAGACTTTTCATTTTGTTAAAGAATTTTCATTTCTGTTCTTTTTTTTTCTAGTCATTTGGTGTGAGCATAAATTCAGCCCTTGATCACTCTGAGCAATGTCGAAAGGGAAAAGAGATGTCATAGTCATTGGAGGGGGTATCAGTGGTGAGTATTTGGATAGGGGGGAGTGTGGCTTAGTGGTTAGGGTTTGTTACTCATGATCAGAAGGTTAGGGGTTCAAGTCCAGCTGCTGGCTTTTTGTTGTGTCCTTGGGCAAGCTACTTCACACACACTTGCATAAGCTGGGCAGTAACCTGTAATGGACTGGCATCCCATTCAGGGGGATCGGAATAGACATTTTCTCAGTTGTTCAAGAAATGCCACTAAATGTGGTGATGAACCCTTGCCTGATGGCCATATTGGCTTGTGACAGACTTTATTATATGATTTATTGATTTTCCAAACATCGATCTTTACGTATTTATATTTTTCTTTATTTGATTAGGTTTCAATTGACCTATCGTGGCAGAATAGCGTTAGAATCGCGTCAACGCAGCTTGTGAATATTGTCCAATTACATGATATACAAATGGACGCGGAACGCGCAACATGAGAAAAACAAAAGTTAGCGTTAAAAAATTCTATAGGGTTGTCTAAGGGGCATGGCCAACTCGTAAACGGAGATAGGTCAATTGATGTCCTGTGTCACTGTGGCTGAATCATAGTCCTAACATTAGGTTAGTTTGCTTAATTTGTTCATTGGTTTCTCTAATGGGAAGCACATTGATTTCTCTTGTGGGATAACTTTGGTTCTTGTTCTTTTATCTGTTAAAAGGGCTGTCAGCTGCTAGACTCCTTCAAGACCAAGGCCAAAATGTGCTGTTGTTGGAGGCTAGAAACAGGGTCGGAGGTCGCACTTATACAGTGAAGGTTAGTATTATGGGCCTGACATTTTATCTATTAGTCTCTATTCCAGCCCAATTGCCTGCATGTTACTCCCTGTACTGTTCCGATCCACCCAAGCACCGTAATGTTTTATGGATTCCCCAGAGATATACAGTTTGCCAATGCGCGCAAAAGCTATCCGAAAACTTTCTCGTAGAAAAATCCGGATGTGATTTCTTTTTCCTTGCGGACCATGTGGAGAAATTTTGAGCATCATTTGTAATTTGACCCTTCGTGAATTCGAAACAGAGCCAGAGAAAGTGACAGGATTTGAAAATTTACAAAACAGATTTTTATGCCCCGCGGGGAAGCCGAAGGGGCATACTGTTTCCGCCTTGTTTACAGATATTTCTACATTATTACACTTTTCAAAGAAAAAAAACCCTAAAACTTTATGAATGGAAATAAAAGAGCGAGTCAGTCTTAACAGCCATTTAAAATCTCGCAGGGTCATGGACGTGATGACTTGCAGGTCACAGGTCAGGCAAAATCTATCCAATCAGAGCATGAATTCATCAGCCAATCCCAGCGCCCTGTTTGCAGGGCAAGGGGTACGAGCAAAGAGAGGTTAATGTACAATTGACTCCAAAAATGTTTTGTTTCTAGGACCCCGCCTTCCAATATGTGGATCTGGGCGGAGCCTACATCGGACCGACTCAAAACAGGATCATCCGAGTTGCCAAGGAGCTAGGTATCCAGAGTCAGATCGTCAATGAGAAGGAGAGGACCATCAACTTCAGCAATGTAAGCAGGGACCATTCTCGACAAAGGTGCTAAGAAGTAGAAAGTATTGCTCAGGTACTGAGCCAGCTTTAGCTGGAACCAACTACAAACAGTGTACATTGCATGGCATATTGGCTGGTATCCTCTTTTTGGTAAGGAAATAGTTTGCCCAGTAAACAACTAGTCCCCTTTTTGACGTGAGTAGCTCACACATCCGTGTGATACGTGTATGTGCAAGAATCGATCGCCACCAGCAGACAAAATATATACGGACCTCCTTCCATTTCACTGGTAGCTTAAAGTACAGTCATTCATTTGCAGCTATCCAAAAAGTAACTGACATGATTAGTGTTGAGAAACATACTTCGTTGAAAGATAGTAAGGGGACTAAACTCCCTGTGAAATTATTCTTTCTGGCAAGCTGTCATTTTGAAGAAGACGCACCGTTGTCAATTTCCGTTAGTAGTTCGGTTTTTTATTCGGCGAAGCGCACGCAAGCGTTGACACGACGCACATGCGCGCGGGGTTGCTATAATTCGTCGGATCAGTGTGCGACATCGCGTAGCTGCAATCGGCTCAGTGAGAACGTGTCTCGGATGCTGAATTCAGGCCCAATTCAAAACATGATTCAGCAACTTTCGATTGGAAAGAGAGATCCTAGAATGCTGTTTTTCTGGGAATATACAGCTGAAGCTGAGCTGAAAGTTCATCAGGTCAGTTGTTTATCACCCTTCTTTAGATTTTGAGCAAGTTTGTTGCTTCAATCAAGCAAAATGCACAAATTACAAATGATGGACTGTACCTGTAAAGGTATTTGTGTTTTAGTTTGAAGCAACAAAAATGCTCAATATCCAAAGAAGGCAGCCGAACAACTAACCTGATGAAGTTTCAACTCAGTGAATGCTGTACATTCCGAAAAAAAAACAATATTCTAGGAACTCCATTTTCATATCAAAAGTTGCTGAATCATGTTTTGAATTGGTCTTGAATTCAGCGTCCGAGACACGTTCTCGCTGAGCCGATTGCAATTACGCGATGTTGCGCACTGAACCGACAAATTATAGCAACCGCGCGCACGTGTGTGACGTGTCAACACTTGCGTGCTTTGCCGAAGAAAAAAAAAACGAATCACTAACGGAAATTTTAGACGCATTGTTGGAAAGGCCTTCTTTCATTGATTTCTTCAAAATGACAGCTTGCCAGAAGAATAATTTCACAGGGAGTTTAGTCCCATTACTATCTTTCAACCAAGTAAGCTTTTCAACAATAATTACTTCAGCTACTTTTTGTATAGCTTCAAATGATGGACTGTACCTTTAATTAACAAGCGCAGCAAGAAGGAAGCTCATTGTCAACAACAGAAATGCTCGTATTAAGGATGTATTCTACGATTAGCACAATTTGTAAGCTCAGCTTGTTTGAACACAACTTTTCCGCTTACCCTTTGTTAAGGAATTGCATGAAATCTTATCTTAGATGAGATTAAAAATACTTTCTGCACATTTGACAATGTTCGATAAAATGAATTAAAATGGAAATCAGAAATGGCCATTTATTGCTTACAAGTATTGAAAAAGCTACAGAAGTTTACAATAATATCTAATTTTGTAATTTTTGTACATTTAAAAAAAACAAGACTGTATTTTTTTCCAGGGCAAGTCTCATGCTTTCAGAGGGGCTATTCCGACATACCCAGGCTTCTTTGCTTTGTTGGATGCCAACAATGCAATGGGCCTTTTAGACAGCTACGGTGAAGAGGTACGTGGGCATTATTCATGGACTCATACACGCCTGTGCTTTTTTATACAGGGTGAGTAAAAAAAAGCGGAATCCAAACCCCAAAACTTATATTTCAAATTCACAAAAATATGTAGCACCAAGAAAATAATGTCAGACACCTGCGCAGCGCAGGCTGTCGGTCAGGCCATGCACTAACTTTTAAGGCCGGGGACCGGACGGGGCAGCCGGCAGCAATTCCCGGTGTATTTTTCTCATCATCAATTTCCATATGTGTTTGTAAGAGTATCGACTGTAAATGATTTGATATAACTTTTGTGGCCCTTTTTATAGCTTCTGTAGTGTAAATGGAACTGGTTCAGAGCATTTTGACTAGAATTTGGAGGCCTTACAAAATTGAAACTGCTGCGGTCGGTGCGGCTTATACGCCTGTGTGGCTTATACGCCAACCTCAAATCTTAATTTGCAGATTTTTTGGTGTTGCGGCTTATACTCCGTGTGGCTTATATTCCGAAAATTACGGTACTTTTAGATGAAAAAAAATTACTGAAATTGGTCAATCCGTTCAAAGAATATCACCCTTTGAACACAATGACTCTAAAACCTCTTTTGTCCAAAAATGCGATTTCAAGAATCGCGTCACAATTGTCTTGAAACATCACCAATGATAAAACCTCACTTTAAAAGTTAAAAATATTCAACAAAGTCCTTTTGAAGGCCCGTCTTTTCAAAAAAGTGGATTTTATAAATCATATTGTTTGTCTAACCTGGGTTGTTAATAAAGATATTGTGCACTACGGTTGTTGACAGTTGTGGAAACAAGTATTCTGTGTCATTCTCTTTGATGTTCCAAACAGTAAGAATACACAATAAATTACATTTTTTTGACGAAACAGGTTTAAGGGCCATTACGTTTAAATGGTGATATTCTTTGAATGGATTGAGCAATTTCAGTAATTTTTCATCTAAAAGTAGCTTACGACCTTGGCTTTCCAGTCAATATTATTTTGGTGCTACATACTTTTTTTAAATATGAAATATGATTTTGAGGGTTTGGGTTCCGCTTTTTTTTTACTCACCCTGTATGACAATTAGTCTCGCGTACTTCATGCCTTACAAACATGGAACTGGAACTCTCATATCAACACCAACACTAGTAACTTTCAATCAGTTGCGCGGCAAGCACGCGTATTTTACAGAACCACGTTATTGTCGTTTCACGAACTGCATGTACGCATTTTTGTTTTCCGAACTAAATTTTACAAGTAACAAGGTTTTTAATAAAAATTTTGTGTAAGCCCACGAGTATATCGTTTTCTCCGATAGGTATTTTCGCAACATGCATGAGTTTCAGTTTGTGAAAACCAAAATCATTCTTTTTCACGTCAATGTCCGATTTGCGCACGCACATCCAGGTGTTAGTTCGTGAAACCAACGCAGTTTTGACAGACTAACACCCACTAGCGCGGGAGTGTTAGTTAGTGAAAACGGTGACGATATTGACACAATGAACTTTTTCAAATCTCATCATACAGTTCAAATACAGAGGATTAAAAAATATTAAGTTTGTAAAGGGTGAAAATTTCAACTCGTTAAAGTAATAAGATTTGCCACATATGGGAAAATGCTCGGCTCATGCTAAAGTTTGGTTTTATCGGCTTGATCAGATCCCAGCAGCAGCACCGTGGGATGCACCACGGGCCGTGGAGTGGGATAGCATGACTGTTCAGTCCTGGGCCGATGCCAATTGCTGGTGTCATTTCACCAAGGAATCCATCACCATCATTTCCAGGGCAGCCTTTGCCACCGAGCCAAGCAACTTGTCCTTCCTCTTCTTCCTCTGGTACATCAAAGTTGGTGGAGGTGAGTTGTTTTTACCTTTTTACACCGTCGAGTTTAGTATATGAGTGCATGCATCTCTCAGTCTTGAGTATTGATAAACCTTTTTTGAAATATGGTGGACACAGTAAGGGCACTTCTACTCTTTTTTTGTTTACCCAGATTTACTAAGTCCAACTAGCACCCTCGTATTGTGTCCAACCTATCTCAAAGAGGCCAATACAGCCTTAAATGCCAGTGTTGTCGGGAGTCCGTATCTCAGCCCCAAGGCCAAATTTCATAGCGCTGCTTAACATTCCGCCAAAAAGTTGTGCTTCCTTTAGCAGAAAATCATGCTGCTGTTTAAGCAATATTTTGTTGTGTGGACATGCTAACAGTTGAACGCAACAGTCTTGTATTCTTGGATCAGTGGGGAGTGTGGCCTTGTGGTTAGGGTTCGTGACTCATGATCAGAGTGTCAGGGATTCAAATCCAGCTGCTGGAGATATGTTGTGTCCTTGGGCAAGCCACTTCACCCCCACTTGCCTCTCTCCACATAGGAGCATAAATGGGTATCGGCGTTAGCTGGGGAGTAACCTGTGATGGACTAGCATCCCCATCCAGGGGGAGTAAATATTCTCAGTCGTTTCATGCTACTGAAACCGGACATAAATGCCGGCCTGATGGGCCGCCATTGGCTCGTGACAGACTCTACTACTTGACTTCTTGGATCAAGTTTGTTTGTTCAAATTTGGGCTTGTTTCTTCAAAACTTAAAGAAACATTTCTTCAAAACTTAAAGAAACATTTCTTCAAAGCTTAAAAAAAAAACCATTTCATTGCAAGTAATTTCTAGCTTGTAGGACCAATCTAAGTGACTGGATTTTCCTTATGAGACTTGATGATCACATCGGGTATTTTTGTCTTGCCTTTTAGGGGTTTTGAGATTCATGAGTACTACAAATGGTGGGCAGGTAAGTACAGGTACAAGTATTTGATTACCTTTAATACAAACCTTGAAAATGGTTGTACATTTTTTTTCTATAAAAGTTAAATCTAAATCAAATAGGAAATCTCATCACTAGATATAATTTTTTGTAGTTTTGTATTTGTGATATTTTATACACCAGGAGAGGAAGTTCGTTGGTGGTTCCATGCAGGTCAGCGAGGGGTTGGCAGGGAAACTCGGAAAAGGTAAGCATCCTCATCAAGTAGCACCTCAACAAATTCTTAGGATATTCAAGAGGGGATCAATTCTGCGATTCGGAAAACAACACAGAACACTGGCAATAGCTTACAATAAGCACACTTTGTTTGCCCATTTTTACCTGATGGAAAATGGACAACCCAATCATTGTTTGATGAGCTGGTATGTTCTTTGAGAGCCAAATTTTGAGTGGTTTTTTTTTTTGGGTCTGACTTACAGAGAACGTCTTGTTGAACCATGTGGTGTCAAGTGTTGAGCAGTCCGATGATGGGGTGAAAGTAACGACAAGAACCGGGGACGTATTTGAGGTAATATACTAACTTCCCGCTTCCGGGGAATTCAGGGAATTGATCTTACTATAAATTTCAACCAAAAGTAAACCAAAGATGCGTGTTTGTTAATAAACAACGTCAAAACATTCAACTTCATGTGAAGTTATTATGCAACATTCTGGATGAGGGCGTAAGCCAACCCAGTTTTAGTATGTGGAGCTTTCTAACAGTGCATATGACCGGTATCCAGTTCATATTAAGTGTGACGTCATTACCACTTTACCATGCATACTGCACACGGTGTAGCACCGGAACCAATGGAACCGGAAGTAGTGCCAAGTGGCGTGTTTAGCCAACAGGCGCTAGTAATCAGTGGTGCGCGCTTGTATGTCACAGTCACTTACGAACCGGATGGCCAAGCTTAACCCTTTCATTACCACATTGTTTATTGACTTGGCTCTCCCCAGGACCAAATAGTTTGCTTAGTCATGCGGAAATCACTAGAGCGTGAACAAAATGACCACAAGTCCAAAACTCACTGCCAAGGAGTGATTTAAATCATAGGTGTTGTGTGTAAAGTTTGTTCCTCGAACCTTACTCTTTTATGTGATGTAAAAATGAAGTCCATATGTGTAAATATAAGAAAGTTATGCCTGTTTGTTCATCTGGTTCCATTTATCAAACTGCAAGCCATTTCACCACATGACTGAATGGCACTCCATACCTCAATTTGTGAGTGGATACTTCTAAAGCACTTTTCTCATTTTTTTGTAATGGCAACACTATGAATAAACTACACCATTAGAACGATCCGAAAACACTCTTTTAGCTGGTATATGGTTGATGTATGGGCGGCCAAACATATCAACATGCCGCCTTTCTGAAAAGTAGTGAATATATCTGTGTTGAGGGTGTTCTGTGTGTGGTTTCCTGGTCGACTAAAGTCGCCCATGGGAACCAGCAGGGGGGTTCTTCTTGTCGACAAAAGTCGCCCATGGTAAGGAAAGGGTTAATGTAGCTGATCAAAAGTCGTGTTCTAATCAGTGAATGCGCACTGTGAGATTGACAGGCAGTCTAGGTGGTCAAACCCCAAGAGTCTTAGGCCGATTTCCCGAAAGTCAGCTTATCTTATGACTCATCTTAGGACCTAAGACGAGTCCCCGCTCTAAGATCGATCTTAGTTAAGACGCGTCCTCAGACCAATTCTACTAAACCCATCTTAAGCAAGAAGCATTAAAACTACCAATTTGATGGCTGTTTTATGTTTGTTTTGACTGCTTGATGAAACAGTCGTTGAAAAGAAAGCGCAAACCCAACTTCCCACGCACTGGTGAGAACAAGTTGCTCCCTGTTTCCTCAATTTTAAATCAATTTTAAAAAGTCGACTACGTTTTGGCATTTAATTAAACATTTGCAAATAAGCTATTTCTCATTTAAGCTACCCACGTATCAGAAATCTTATCAAATCTGTTTCTATGCCGGTTTTCCTCCTTCGAACTATAACTCTAGGCAGTCACTTGTCTTAAATGGCAATGATTTCTAGACGATATACAAATTAACGCACGCATCAATGAGATAAGACCACTCTTTAGATAAGACGAGTTCAGCTGTGTTGTTAAGGAAGTTAGGATGTGTTGAACACGTCTAAAGTTGGCTGATACTAATCCTAGAACGAGTCGCAAATTAAAACAAATTATCCTTCCTAAGATCTGTATCCGTATCTGTATGATATAGTCGGCAAAGCATCCCGGGGGAAACATCACACCAACTTGATGTATACACATCCATCCTGCCAGAAACACCGCGGCAAACGCCTTCTCTTAGCGATAAGTGTTACTGGGTTCTTCTACGTGCGTTAGGCAACACACGGGACCTACGGCTTTGCGTCCCATCCGAAGGACGAAGCAAGAATGGTTAAGTGCCTTGCTTAAGGGCACAAGTGTCCGCGCCCGGGCTTGAACCCACGTCACTGTTGCTTCTGAAACACCAGAACATGAGTCCAGTGCTCTTAACCGCTAGGCCACAACACTCCACCAGTCTGGGTGTTTTGTGAAATCGGCCCCTGAATCCATGAAAATACTGCTCCATCGGGTGTTGAATTTAGTCTTTTGTCTTTTATACAGGCATCCTACATGATAAGTGCAGTACCCATTGCGCTGCTCGGAAAACTAACGTTTCAGCCTCCTCTTCCTTCACTGAAAAGCCAGGTTAGTCCATATTTCTTCAAAAAAATGTGTTTATGCCTCGTGAATATTCATGAGCCAAAAGAACAGTCTAGCCTTGAATATCATGAGTAATTTTTATGCCCCGCGGCGAAGCCGAAGGGGCATACTGTTTCCGCCTTGTCCTTCCGTGGGTGGGTGGGTGGATGGGTGTGTGGGTGGGTGTGTGTGTGGGTGTTCCTGCATGGCATTACGCCTGAGGACAGACAACAAAAGGAGCACAAAGGGGCCATTGATCCTCGAAGGAAGGTGCCTATTGTCCTCGAACGCAGGTTGGTGTGCTTAGTCTATGGGAGAGTGTTATATTACAGGGACAAAGGAAAACACAAAGCCAATCCTCGGAAGCATAGCAAACAAGTCAGGTGTGTTTACAAACACAAATGCCCCGCAACCGTGACTGTTTCCATGACATAACACCACTCTAACATCAAATTACATGTACCTTGGTCAAATGGAACGTTCATTGACAGCATTAGTGTCTTCTGTAGGTTTTATATGAATTAATCCCTAATCCCTATGATCTCAGAATAAATACAAGATTTCTATTGTTTTAGCCACTGTGACCTTGACCCTTGACCTTTCGACCACCAATGCGATAGGCTCCTTAGGATTGCCAAGGACAATCCACAAACCAAATTTGAAGTTCATATGTAAAGTATATCTCAAGTTATCGCGCTGACAAAATTTCTTTTGTTTTTGCCACTGTGACCTTGACCCTTGACCTTTTGGCCCCAAATGCAAAAGGCTTCTTAGGATTGCCAAGGACAATCCACAAACCAAATTTGAAGTTCATATGTAAAGTATATCTCAAGTTATCGCGCTGACAAAATTTCTATTGTTTCAGCCACTGTGACCTTGACCCTTGACCTTTCGGCCCCAAATGCAATAGGCTTCTTAGGATTACCAAGAACAATACACAAACCAAACTTGAAGTTCATATGTAAAGTATTTCTCAAGTTATCGCGCTGACAAAATTTCTTTTGTCTTAGTCACTGTGACCTTGACCCTTGACCTTTTGGCCCATAATGTAAAAGGCTTCTTAGAATTGCCAAGGACAATCCACAAACCAAATTTGAAGTTCATATGTAAAGTATTTCTCAAGTTATCGCGCTGACAAAATTTCTATTGTTTCAGCCACTGTGACCTTGACCCTTGACCTTTCGGCCCAAAATGCAAAAGGCTTCTTAGGATTACCAAGGACAATCCACAAACCAAATTTGAAGTTCATATGTTAAGTATTTCTCAAGTTATCGCGCTGACAAGATTTGTCCGGACACACACACCCACCCACCCACACATACTTGTTTCACATGACTAGTGTGGACTTTCCATTGCTTTCGTGTAGTTAAGAAAAACCAGTGAAAAAACTCATTTTTCTCAAACTGTGAAAACTCTTTCAACCCAATTTTTTTTCTATGATTCCCTTTAGTGTTTCTCTTCATTCTGCTACAGATAAACCTAACCCAAAAATGCCTCTAAACCTGTTTTCCAGAAATGGGGAAACACTGTGTGGACGTGGGGTAAGTCCACACAACGTCGGTGCTACCTACATTATGTGGACGTCTTTTGTTCGGAAGTCCACACTGCGTATGTAAGACAAACTCACCCACCCACCCACCCACCCACGGAAGGACAAGGCGGAAACAGTATGCCCCTTCGGCTTCGCCGCGGGGCATAAAAACGACTGGGTGGGTGGGTGTGTGGGTGTGTGTGTCCGGACAAATCTTGTCAGCGCGATAACTTGAGAAATACTTAACATATGAACTTCAAATTTGGTTTGTGGATTGTCCTTGGTAATCCTAAGAAGCCTTTTGCATTTGGGGCCGAAAGGTCAAGGGTCAAGGTCACAGTGGCTGAAACAATAGAAATTTTGTCAGCGCGATAATTTGAGAAATACTTAACATATGAACTTCAAATTTGGTTTGTGGATTGTCCTTGGTAATCCTAAGAAGTCTTGCATTTGGGGCCGAAAGGTCAAGGGTCAAGGTCACAGTGGCTGAAACAAAAGAAATTTTGTCAGCGCGATAACTTGAGAAATACTTTACATTTGAACTTCAAATTTGGTTTGTGGATTGTCCTTGGCAATTCTAAGAAGCCTTTTGCATTTGGGGCCGAAAGGTCAAGGGTCAAGTTCATAGTGACTAAAACAAAAGAAATTTTGTCAGCGCGATAACTTGAGAAATACTTTACATATGAACTTCAAATTTGGTTTGTGTATTGTTCTTGGTAATCCTAAGAAGCCTATTGCATTTGGGGCCGAAAGGTCAAGGGTCAAGGTCACAGTGGCTGAAACAATAGAAATTTTGTCAGCACGATAACTTGAGATATACTTTACATATGAACTTCAAATTTGGTTTGTGGATTGTCCTTGGCAATCCTAAGAAGCCTTTTGCATTTGGGGCCAAAAGGTCAAGGGTCAAGGTCACAGTGGCAAAAACAAATGAAATTTTGTCAGCGTGATAACTTGAGATATACTTTACATATGAACTTCAAATTTGGTTTGTGGATTGTCCTTGGCAATCCTAAGGAGCCTATCGCATTGGGGGGTAGAAAGGTCAAGGGTCAAGGTCACAGTGGCTTAAACAATAGAAATCTTGTATTTATTCTGAGATCATAGGGATTAGGGATTAATTCATATAAAACCTACAGAAGACACTAATGCTGTCAATGAACGTTCCATTTGACCAAGGTACATGTAAGTTGATGTTAGAGTGGTGTAATGTCATGGAAACAGTCACGGTTGCGGGGCATTTGTGTTTGTAAACACACCTGACTTGTTTTTGTCTTATTTTGAGTCAGATGACAGAAAATATGAACACTTAAATAACTCAAGCAAAAAGTCTCTGGTTTTGGTCATTTTAATTCTTCAGTTGATTCAGCGCATGCCCATGGGTTCAGTCATCAAGACTTTCACGTATTACAAGAGGAGCTTCTGGAGGGACCTAGGTGAGCAGATTTAATAGTGTTCTTGTTTTAAACTGAATAGTTTGAAATCATATTGCAGTTACCATTTTGACCGTCCTTTTTCAAACGTCTGCTCGTCATTTATGGGTTTTGAAATTCGGTTGTTTTTTGTGTGTGAGTTTTCTAAGAAACAAAACGATCATTCTCTTCTTAAACTTGAATCGCTTGATGTTATCATATCATCTGAACAGTTAGTCATCTTTTGTTTAATTTGATATTCAACTCTTCCTTGATATTTGTCACGTGATATTTTGTTGGCTGCTTCAAGTTGGCGGAGTTCAATGGTAACCACTGGAGCAGACATGCCGATGTTTCAGATTGAAAGTAATTGCACATTGTTTTAATTTGGTGTAACGAAGGCAATTAATCCATCAGAAAGGTAACGCCTCCTGCAAGTATCAATAATTTGTTGTTATTTTGTAGATTATAATGGAATTGTCCTTGGATCGGAGGGTCCTGTAGTTGGTAGCTTTGAAGACATCAAACCGGACGGCTCCCACCCAGCCATCATGGGGTATGCACTGTTTTTCCTCCTGATTCCAAGTATGGATCAGTGTTGAACTAGACTCCATCGCAAGACCACTATGAAGCCCGGTTCATACTTCACGCGAAAGCTTGTGCGAAGTGAAATTCATGTCGTCAACAATGGTGGACGCGCTTCGAATGTATTGTTGACGTCACGAATTTCACTTCGCTTTCGCTTTCGCATGAAGTATGAACTGGGCTTGAGTCCAAGTAAATCACAAGTCCTTTCTCAAGTTTTCTCAAGTAACAATGTACATACGAGCCATAAGCCAATATGGGTGACATAATTTAACTGCAACCAACAGATACCATAATTGTTTAGATCTATGAAACATATCAAATTAGGTTTTGCCCTTCACCGATGTTTAAACACTGTATACCGGCCAACCGATCCCGTTAGCTCGGTGGTAAGACATCTGCACTAGAAACACACTGAGTATACAGTGTTTAACCGTCGGTGAAGGGCAAAACCTAATTTGATTTGTATTACCCCGGCGCAAAAATGCCATCTTATAATCTATGAAACATGTCACAGATGTTGCAAAGTAAACCAATCAGGCTGTTTTCATTCTTTTTGGTAGGTTTTTGAATGGAGAAAAGGCAAGAAAATACTGCTTAATGACGAAAGAGGAAAGGTTTGTATGAGACAGAATTGTAACCATTTTGAAATAAAGAAGTTGGAATTGTCAATGAGGGCAGCAAACAGAAAATGAAGGTCCGTTTGCTTACGTCATGGTGCGGCTTGAACACTCCCAGAAAAATAAAAGCTGCTGGCCTGCAGTGTTTTTCCACAGCATTTAATAGACAAGATGTCATTGAATTCTCAAGCTTCCCAACATTTTATTAGTTCTGCCAGAGAGAGATCTTTGTAAAAAACTCTCCTCTGTTAAACCTTCACAATGTTTTTTTTTTCTTGCAGGAAAAAAGTTGTTTGTGAGTACTATGCCAAAGTGTTCGGAACAGATGAAGCCCTGCATGTGAGTATTGTAATTTGCTTAGATGTATAGATATCCAATCCTTTAGATCTGTTGTCATATGAATATATAGTTTCAGTGTCATTGGTTTTTTTTACTGACAAGTTAGAAAACTGGTCTATCCAGGTGCGGATCCAGAGAGTGGGGGGGGGGGGGTGTTTGGAGTTGGAACCCCCTGCTCCGACACCCAAAAAAGTATATACATTTGTATAACAATTATTCAAAAAGATGACATTCTGCCTGTCTGCAACAATTGGACATAAAAAAATGAATCAGGCGGGCCTGATGACCCTCGCCCCCCAAAAAAAGTGTTGGATCTGCCCCTTATATCATAATTAATGTGACAAAGTAAATTTTATGGATGTTTTGTTATCTCGATATAGGGAACGTTCTTTTTGTGATCACTGAGTAAATATTACTGGCAGAGTTAAGGAAGTGGGGGGGGGGGGGGGAGCGGGGAGAAGCCAGTGGTTGATCCGTTGGAGGTTTCTGACCGATCAATCGGCTAACCATTGCAAAAATCAAAAGCAGGGTTGGTGGGGGACTGAGTTTATTTGATGCTCAGCTGATGGGTACCTCTTTTCCAAGGAACAAAACGTTTTCCCAGTTAGTTAGCAGGAGGTTGTGGGTTCGACTCCCACCCGAGTAGTTTGTGAATTTTGCTCACAATCATTCGGGACAACACTAACTCTACAGATAAAATGAAATGTAGATGAAATAAAATTTAAATATAGATGAAGGGCAAAATCAAATATTAAATGTATACATCCCAATGCAAAGTCCATTACATGATCAATTCGAACCGGTTTTATTGCCAGTGAAACAAAATGTCATGTGCTTTGAGACATGCCCGGAAATGTTGAACATTTTTTGTATCTGTCCTAATGTTGGTGCAGCCCGTTAACTATGTGGACCATAACTGGATGGATGAGGAATTCTCTGGAGGTTGCTACATGGCTGCAGCGCCCCCAGGTGTCTTCACACAGTTTGGCAGGTCAGAAGCTTGTCTCAAAGTTTAAGTGGATGTAGTGATCCCCAAAAACATGTGAATAAAAGAAGGAAAGAAAAATCCACAGTAGCGTTGATTCTTCCTTTTAAATAGCAAGCACCTTCACAGATAAAAGACGAACCACTGAAGCTTGCCCTTTCTTGCCATGGGAAAATCATATATATTGGGCCCACAAATGATACATTGGTCATTTTTGGCCTTTGCTTCCAGAGCTAGATGTCAAAGAGCCAAATATTGGGCCCTGCAAGGCCATTGGCGTATTCACCATATACAGGCCAAATTTCGTGATTTGGAAAAAAATCATTGCAACCTGACGCCACTTCCGAGATCGTGTACAAGGTGTATGGAGAGTCAAGAAAAATTTTTCCAAGTATTTCCTAACAAAATTGAAAATATTTCTCAGTCCCAGATTCATCATCGGTTTTGCAACCTCCATTGAAATGATATTTGAAGAAAAAAGTGGCGTCAGGTTGCAACATTTTTCCCCCATGATTTTTCTGTTAACACAAGATAGCCATCTGAGAGAAGGCAGCAGCAAGTGGCATGCGGACCTCAAAATATACAGTTTGCTAAAAAGCAAAATTGGTGATGTAACAAAGAAGTCTCCATGCACATTCAAGCCATGAAATAATGCTTAGTGTTTAGATTGCTAGAGATAACACAACTTAGTCGGCTAACTGTTAAGTTACATTCATAAATACCTCAGACAGTTTAGCTATTCCTATTGGTCGAGAGCCCGTCACGTGGCTGGTCTTAAACGGATGATAAAGACATGGCTAGCTGGTCTTAAACACTTTTCCAGTGTCACAACAAAATGTGGACTCCTAAAAATCCAGTGCCTCTTACCGTTTCATTGGTTGAACGTTCACAATCCTCACGTAGGCATGCGCAACACTACATGCGAGTCAGAATTTTATAGTTCTAAATTCAAAACGCAACGCCCCAGGTGCGTTCTGCGTGACATCGCGCAGAACATGCTACGCGCGCGTCAATCTCCATAAAAGGGTTGTTTACATTTTAATCGCCAGCTGAACACTCCATTATTTTGCTAGAGGGATGTTTCGAAAAGCATGAAGTGAACTTGTTGAACAAAATCGGGATTTTTTGAACGAATTATTTGATATTTTTTTACGGATAAGGTATTTATGAATGGGAATAAATATGTGCTCGGTCGGTATTTATCACTCTGTTTAATACCGCTTAGAGTCTGGGTGCCGATAATTACCCTCGCCTCCGGCTCGGGTAATTATCAGCACCCAGACTCTAAGCGGTATTAAACAGAGTGATAAAAACCTCTCGAGCACACATTTATTCCCTTAGCATAAATTTGGCCCCAGGGTCTGACATTGACATGCTTCTAAGTTTTAGAAGATACCTTTTTGGGTTTTTTTTGGTTGTGGATGTTCTCTCGTCTTCAGGGTGATGCGGGAACCGTTAGGGCGTGTCTACTTTGCTGGTACAGAGACCGCCAACCATTGGGCAGGTTATATGGAAGGTGCCATACAAGCTGGAGAAAGGGCTGCTAGAGAGGTAACGGATCCAAGTCAAATATTGGATGGAATTGTGCATCTGGTGCCAATGCTATCCAATGTTATCCTTTGAGCGCAAGTGGGACGCATGTTGTGCGTCTGTGCCCTATTTGCCATGAGCTGAAGGTCATGGGTTACGGTCCCAGGTTATATTTCCACAAGGTCATTGAAAGCCTTGGGCATAACAGGCCGGTTAAGGACGAAAACTTTCATTAAACTATCCCAGTCAATTTCCCAAATGTTTCTGAAATTGTAAAATTTGTTCTCAAAATTGGGATAGTTTTTAGCCCTCTCACCCTGGTCCTCACTAAACTCTGTTATGTTTTGAGTTGTGTATGTTCAAGGTTCAAGAGGAGTTACTTACAAATATGGTTAGCTTGTGTCATAAAAACAGGGCCTTAAAATTTGAGCAATTGGTTCTTTTGTTTTGACCGTAGATTTTGCACCAGAAGGGACTGATCAGCAAAGATGAGATATGGCAGGAAGAGCCTGAATCACTGGTAAGTGATGCTGTACATTCAATCTGTCTGTTTGTCTGTTGGGCTGTCTGTGTATTGATTCTAATATTTCTATAACTCATACCTTTCCATGATCGAAAGGCGAGTTCTCATCAAGATCACTGGTCAATTCACCATGATGTGTCAGCCACTAGTTTTGCTGTTTACCAAGTGCGCACTTGAGGTTTCATGCGCAGGTTAAATATGCATGGGTCGTAGAGTATCGCAGTTATATGCAAGCACACGCATGGAGGTTGTGTGCAAGTGCGAAATTTGGAAGATGAAGTATTGGAAGTTGAAAGACTAATTCGATCGGCTTCGCATAGTCTGTCAATTTCCAATACCTCTGGGAGCGGACTGTCAACCCTCAAACCATGTTTTATTTGTATAACACATACCTTTTTAGCTGTGAATTAAAGAGGTTGTGGAATGCTCGAAGACATTTCCGTCATTTTTCGGGTATATGTAGCCTAAGGTGTGATGAAATAAAAACGACTATTGTGTCTGTCATGAAATGAGTACAAAAGGTACTTTTGAGAGCTGTTTTTCAGGTCCTGTTTCGACCCGAACGTGCAATTTGTGTAAAAGTCGTCGTTGGGGGCAGCAAACAAAACATAGTAAATCATGACGTAATAAACAGGACTCGTTTATACTATGCTGCATCGGGAGTCCTGTTTATTACGTCACGATTTACTATGTTTTGTTTGCTGCCCCCAACGACGACTTTTACACAAATTGCACGTTTGGGTCGAAACAGGACCTGAAAAACAGCTCTCAAAAGTACCTTTTGTACTCATTTCATGACAGACACAATAGTCGTTTTTATTACATCACACCTTAGGCTACATATACCCGAAAAATGACGGAAATGTCTTCGAGCATTCCACAACCTCTTTAAAGCAATTTTAGGGCCCCTTCTATTACAGCAGTTCCTAACGTGTAGCCCGGCTGTGGCCGACTTGATGATGATGATAACGTGTCATAGCGCACAGAAACCAGGGAGTGAAAAGCAAGCTCTTGTGGTTCCCAAAACCTCCCCTACTTCTGCGGATAATGCCTGGATTGATTCCTAAATACGATTCATAAATTTCTAAATCTCTTGATTCCTAAATCTCTTGAAACCAAAGCCAGTAATGAAGAGTAGATTTTAGAAAATTTGCCCTCACTAGCTACAATGCATAGCGCCCTCTATTTTTTGTGTGTGAAGCCAATAACAAAAAAACAAGACTTCCCATTTATCTTTTTAACATTCAGGATATCCCCGCCAAGCCATTTGACACTAGCGTCGTGGAAAGACTTTTGCCATCCATCCCCGGATTTCTCAAGTTGGCTGCCACGGCGATAACTGTCACAGCTGTGGCCGCCATTGTTCATCTCCTCTAGAGACAGAATCCGGCTGCTGTTGTCGAGGTGCTGATGATTTTCTCCCTCGCTAAAAGTTTTAACATGTTTAACAGAATCAGCTGAAGAGGAAATCTGCCTGACTATTTTAAGAGTTACTTTTGTACATGAAATCTATCGGCGTTCTTCCGTAGGTTGATGAAAAAAACTTTTGTAAATCATGAATTGAAGTAATTTATTCAGTCTGAGATGTAATGTTCACTAATTTTAAAAGTCTTTATCAAGTTTTCTGTAACATTCATTGATTTTTTCACTGTATCTGTACCTGGATTTGGCATTTTTGATCAGGCCCACGAATTCCGTCTCCAAAGTACCGGCATTCCTAAGATCCGAACTTTAAATTCTGATTAGGATATGACTTTTTGAGGAGTTCATACAGTTCAAGAATTTTGAATTGAAAAAAAAAAGTTCTGGCCAAAAATCTGCTCCAAAATTGTAGGCAAAATAAAAGGTCATGAAAATGCTACGCAAACAGTTCTAGAACTTTACTATTTTAAGAAGAAAAAAAATGGAAAGTTTGTGGAAATATACAGTGAAATTTGTATAGATTTAAACCAAAGCTCCAAATTCTCAGGACAAATTATGAAGTTTTTTCTAATGGAAAATGTGGGGGAAATGAACAGTGAAAAGTTGTATTCATTTAAGGAAAAATTACGAGTTTGTTTTTAAGTTAATATTCCTGTTTTGATGAAGGCAAGGACGCAAAGGTGGCATTTGTCTTTGAGGTGATAGCAATAATAAAATGAAAAGGGTGAAACAATTTTAATAGATTTTTACAGATATTTCTATATGATAAATTAGCTATGTGTAGATAATTATGTAAACTGTGTTTCACAGCATATGCATTGCTTCTTGCAAAGCAGTACCAGATTGAAACAAAAGCAAGGTTAAGCTTCACTGACAAAAAAAATTGTCTGTATTCTCGCTATGTAGGTAGCTAATGTACTTAAACAAGAACAAATTGTTCATTTTATGTTAATGTGTATTTTTGTGTGTGCTCTTGAACTTTGAACAACAGTTCTTTTTATTATAATGAATTGGAATACATTGTATCTCATTAAAAAATTTAATCAAATTATTTTTTTTTAATGGCCAAGCTAATTTCACTTAGTTTAGAGACTTCATGTACCATGTTTGCTACCTGCTTTAACAAACTTGAAATCCTGTATTATCATGTACTAAACATCAAAATGGATGTGAAATTTTGGTAAATGCATTTTCCCCACTTGCTATATAGAGTAAGCATATTTTAGGCATTAAACTAATTAATTCAAAATTGAACAAGCGGGAACCTTTTAAAGATTTTAAGTCGATTTGGGCTTTTGAAACTTTATTTAGATATATTAACTTTATTTAGATATATTAATTTGAAGAATATATTTTAAACTGTCTTTGAAACTCATGAATGTAGTTTGACTGAGAATATACTTATAGTTTATATTATAGTTTATATTTTGTTTAGGAGGCCAGACTTAATTGTGTATTAATTTGTTTGTCATGTGCATGAAGGGTAATTTCTTTCATTGGTACAGTTACAAAATAAATGAATATTGTTAGAAGCAAATAGATGTTTGCGTGTCAAATGATATTGAGAGTGATTGGTCTATGAAAATTTAGTGTAAATTTTACACAACACTTTTGTAATTTGTATAATGGGATAAAATGATAAAACAAAATAATCCCCAGTCAAAATAATAAAACAAAATAATCCCCAAATACAACAAAAATAGCCACTTATTGTCTAATCATAATTTACTTCACCTATGGTGCAATCTTATATTACTGCTGTTATTTTCTCCTGAAAAAATAATGAGGAAAATAATTATGGGCTCGCTTTTCACGAGTACGCCCCCAGCGATCCGTAGGTGCGAACTCCGAATTAAACAGCCGTCTGGTTCAGAGGGGGGGGATGTCTCACCTATCCATATTTGGTCATAAAATGACATCATCGGTTCTGAATGTAGAAAAAGGTCAGTGACCCCACTCGCCAATAAATTAAGACATGCCTGGTACCCCCTGCTGCTAAGGTAGAAAATAACAAGCTCACCTGACGGAACCCGTCTATTTGTACAACTACATGCAGTTGGTGTGGCGGCGTACGCAAGTAAGATCGATCAGGTAAGTCTCTACGATTTCCGCTGTTTTACAACTTACGAGAATAAGCACAATGCACATACGAACTTGGCCTATGCATCGTGCGGGAATTTGCACGCCTGCGCACTTGCAGTCATTTTTAGAAAAATATGTCGGTGACTTGCCTACGTCACAGACAACCCGAACGTTTGCGGGTCAATCCAGGTCAATTCCCGCGCGGACCATCTATTTTTGAACCGATCGATATTGCGGTCGGCCGATATGTAATCTGATACGTTCCCACGCCACGGCCAGGCACTATGCATACATCCTGCATACAAATACGTATACGTGTATGTACATGTATTGGATGATCCAGGGGATCGGCGAGCTTCAAGTCAATTTTTTTCAAATCGGAGTTCGACTCGAAGCTTGCTTCATTTTATTTTTGACCAAAATGCAATTTGGGATTACATGTATATTCAAAGTTACATAATAATACAGCAAATATGAAGGACCGTTTAGATCTCTACATCATTTGTTGTGAATTAGCCACTGGAAAACACAGTACAAAATAACTTTATTTAAGTTTAATAACTATTCAAAATCTGCACCTGTGGTTTTTAGTATTTTACGACGATGGAAAAAAAAACATTTTTAAAGTTCTTTATCCTTTTTTCCCCGGCATATTTTTAAAGTTATATTTCATTGTCATAGTGCTAGCCCAGGGCGGATAGGCATCGTGTCTTTTTGCTATCAGTCTTTATGTTATCATTTTAAAAATTATTGTGTTTTACAGGCATGTTTTATTCATAGGTTAATTTAAGTGTAAGTTTTACTATTGTCAGTTCTTGCATGCTGTTTTTACTGTTTTTACTCTTTGATTTACACCAGGACAAGAATGTGTTTGTTTTTAACTTAGATGACTAATACAAGTACGAATATGAATGTTCACCACTTGTCAATAATGTCGAGAAGTTATAACAACAAAGGCATGAAAATAAAAGGAAATACACTTGATGCCAACTTCACGAAAGGGGTAGATCATGGGGGCAATTCCGAAGAGTCGTCAAAGAACAGACGCAAAACAAACAATCCAGATTATAATCTCCCCCAGGCTAATACATAGTCAAAAACTCGTTCTTTAAAAATCGAATCAGAGTAAGTAAGCAGTAAGCAGTAAGCATGACAAGTCTTTTAAAAAATAGTTTTGAAATTTTTGAATCAAATTGCAAAAGGTTTTCAGCGTTTTTACGGAGGGACTAAATTATCAATCCAAAAATCATACCTTTTTTCAAAATTCTTGTTCCGGCTGAAATTGCACGCAACGAACATTTTTTGGAAAGAAGTCTGGGTCAAAATCAGATAAAATCAACGAAATCATAACAATCAAATCAATGTTGAGAAAACTTCACCTGAATGTCTTTTGATTTTTTACGAAGAGACAAATTCGTGCAAAGGGTGGGGAATGGGTATCGGCAATTTGCCAAAACAACAAGTGTGTGGGATTTAGTTTTCACGACCAGACAAACATCTATGGGGATTAGTTACGATACCGGTACCTCGCAATTGTTGTTCCATTATTCTGTAATTGGTACATCTTTGAAGTTTCATCTGTGTTTCAAAAGTTAGTCAGTAGTATGCGAAATGTTTATTCCAAATCGTGACCAACTTAAAACCTCTTTTCTGACAACCACTGCAAGTTCAACGGGTGCATTATGTTATACCTGTTCCCCAAACCTAACCCTAACCGTTAAACCCCAACACCTATTGCGGCAAATTCACCCCTTCGTGAAAACGCTGACAAATTGGAATAAGCGAAATCTGGATAAAGTCAACACTGATAACTCAAAACCTGAAAGTCAAACCATCCCTCCATGGTCAAAGAAAACTGCATAGTACTACGAAATAAAACAATATATATACCCTGATTAACCAAATTTCGAGTTGTTCCGTAGCTGCATGGGAGGCTATACTATCAAGGTTGGGGCCTTAGGCCTATATATCGCAAGTCCGACTCCTCCGATGATAAACCTGGACCCCCGCCACGCCTCGGAAGTCCGAAATTTCCAAATTATTAGGCGTCGGACTGATGAGGTGTCGGACCTAGGCGTCGGAATTTTATAACAGTTATGGGCCTTATATTAGATTTTGCCGGACTTGGGGCCTATATGCGTCTGACATAATTATATGAGGCTTAGCGGAGCCCTTAAGATTTCCCTTTAAGTCCAATGTTATTGAAAGGTCAGAAACGATGGAAAATGATGAATACTCCGAATACAAAATACTCTAAATAATTATGGAGAACTAGTGATCAAAGGCATCTTGTGAGCGAATAGTTCGACAGTACTGATTGTTATTCTCCTCTGATGTCATTGTGTATCGTCTAAACATGAGAATGCAGTTTCTATTTTCTTGGTTTCTGACAAAGGAAGGCATTTCAAATACATGTATTTTGCTCCAATTTTTAGAGAAAATATTCTGAACTTGCGGAAAAAGGACCCACCAAGTCAGAACGTCGGCCAAAGAGGCGGAAAAAAATATTTTTTTTTTTTGCATGCGGGAGGTGCTTGGTACGCCCACGGGGGTACGGACGTGCGGATCCAGATAATCCACCCTAAGAATTTCTGTGTAATAAGCCATGCTAGAGTAAACTTTTAAATAATAAAACATGAATCAATGAAGTTGGAGGCTCACTCGGATGGCAGGTAAGGGAGCCGCTGGTACGTTCAAGTTTGACACCACCGAGGAGAAAGAGAAGGCTGCCGGCCAAGGCTAATGCAGCTAAGGAGAAGGAGAGAATCAAGGCCAAGAAGGAACGGGAAATGAAAGCCAAGATTGCAGAAAAGCCAAGAAAGCCAAAATGGTGAATAAAGTCAAGAAACCCGCGCCGAAGAAGTCACCCAAGAAAGCTGCCAAGAAAACGCCATCCAAGTCAAATATACATCTGTCAGCCAAGCCGGCCAAGAAGCCAGCCAAGAAGCCAGCCAGCAAGAACACATCGAGCAAGCAGAAGAAAGTGTCGGCCAAGCCTTCGAAGAAATCATCGAATCAACAAACTAAAACCAAAACGGCTCTTTTCAGAGCCACAACATTTTCACAAAATAGATATGAGATATTCGTTTCTGCAATTTGCATTTTTATTAAATTTTATATTTTTCATGATTACTGTTTTTAAGTTTTCGTATAAAGCCCCCCCCCCAAAAAAAAAAATACCCCAAAAACATCATTGCATGAAAATAAGATATTTTCACCCCATATTCCATTCCGCGCCAGGGGACAGCGCAAAGGGTGAATAAAAAAACCATGATATTCCAACCTCCTGATTCAGAGTACTCTAAACCCCCCCCCCCCCACACACACACACACACGCACACCCACGCTTAATTGCACAGGCGTAGAAGTGGGGACGCGGCCCCATCCCCCATTTGCCCCCATCCCCCATTTGCCCCCATCCCCCATTCGCCCCTCCCCCCGTCCCTAACGCCCCCTTCCCCGGGGTCTGGATAATGGTGCACGGAAAAAAGGAAAAATTAGGAACAAAGGAAATGTTATCCCCGCCCCGCCCCAAGGGGTCGGGATAATTGGCAAGGCCAAAAGGGTCAATAAAAAATGTGCATGGAGTGTTCCCGGTGCACCGCCCCCTATCTCCCCACCCTTCCAACCTGCACTCCAACCCGCGGGCCTCCCTCACCCCACCCACTCAACCCCGTCCCGTCGCTTTGGGATAGTAAGGGACGAAAAAAAAGGCCATCAACAAACGGAATCCTTGCTTTGTAACGCTTCTTCCATAGCTCCTGCACGGGTGCATGTCTATGTTCCCCAATTCCGATGTTCCCTAATACCGATGTTCCTCGAAATCCTTACCAATATAACCCTAACCCTAACCCTAACCCTAATCCTATGGATTTGGGGGAACATCGGTATTGGGGAACATCGGGTAGATCCCCTGCTCTGCTGCACGTACGTACGTGTATACTGTATACAGACTAACTGATCATTCGCAATTTTTGGCATTTCCTTCGAAAAATGTCCATGCATATTGCTCGCGACCATCGCACAATCAAACCGACCACCCACATGTGGCACACCATTCGACAGCTAAAATCCTCAACTATTCGAAATAAATTCATTTGAATTTGAACCAAATACTGGAAAGAAGACAAACGGGATTGAAGAGATGGACTCCTACTCCTAGCGAGAGTGGCCGAAATTGATCGACGACGATGTCATGCGCGTATTTTAAAGCAAGAATTTGACGATTGCGTCATAAAATTCGGCGCTGTTCACCTAATTTGCATACGAAGGTTTCTGTGAATAGTTTGTCGTGGCCCCCACCCTCTGCCCCAAGGATCGGGATTATAATGCAAGGACCAAATCAAAAGAAGATTGAGAAATTCCAGGCCCTCCCAATCTGCGGCTCTCCCGGGGATATTCAACCCTCCTGGTTCGGAGTACTATAACCCCTCCACCTCTCTCTCCCCCTCTCTCTCCC